ATAGGGGGTACATAGTGTTGTGAATATAAGGGCAACGGTTATGCTTGCCAGCATTGTGATATTAGAGATAACATATTTGAATAGGATACCAAATTAAATTTGTTTACGTTTAGGTTCTCCTTGAAATCTTTGAAATCCTCATATCACAATTCTTCTTATCCCTAAAATCCTTAAAATCCTTATAATCTTTGCACTATTTGCAATCCTTGTAATCCATTGTAATCCTTGAAATATTTTTATTCTTTGTAATCCTCGTAATCAAAATGGTGAGCTTTTAAGTAGCCTAGCTAGTGATAAGTGGAACTTTATGGTGGCTAACCCTTAGTTCCTTGAACTCGTGATTTATTATATGTAATCAAGTAATTGAACTATTGATTTGGTTAAATCAATCATGCCGGCGTGTAATTGGACAATCTCATTTCTGCTATGTGCGGTCGAGAAGTTTTGAGGAAGATAGTGAAAGGGATTTTGATCTAAGATCGCCCAAATTAAGTAGTAGGAATTAATGATAATATGTTTGCAGGTATCAGTAACGATGAGCTACATAGACAAAGTCAGCACCCGAGCCGGGTACGGTGAATTCCTCTCCAAACAGGTCACCTGCAGGGCCAATACTACTCCCGATGCTCTCAAGAAGATAAAGGTACACTAATACTTGTTATAAGCTGGTAAAAAAAAATGGCTGCTTTTAGCGGTAATACGTTCTGATCCTCGCACTATACTCACGGCTATTATAGTCTGTATACGATGAAACTGCGCTTGAGTTTTGACAGAGAATGCATCTAATTTTTTTGGTTAATGTCCAACTCAAAGAGGAATAACTTGTAAATAACTCGTATATGTATGTAAATACGTTGTTAATAACTTGTAACTCCAGCTTTTTGCAAGGTGGTAGACTTTATAGATATCACAGCAGACACAGTTGAAGCTGCAATCCTGAAGTACGGGAGTGTTATGACTTGTATGAAGTGGGGTTCAAAGCCTTCAGATCCTTGTTATATGACTAATTACAGGGCGGGTCAGTAATTAATTAATTAATTAGTAGTTAATTAATTAAATGGTGATTTATAAACTTATTTATAAGGTATTAATTAACTATTTAAGCTTTCAGTAGATCCCCTCTAATTAATGTCGGGTGCATGGACGTCGTCAAAACAACACGTTTGACCTTTTTATAATTTCTTAATTATTGTTAATAATTAATTCCAATCAGGTGCGACTGTTAATTACCCAGAAATAAAGAAGGGGTGTGACCATGCTGTCTCATTGTTGGATACACGCCAGACTACTATATTGTAAGTAGTAATAATTAAATTTTGATACTTTGATGAGATATAGCCAAAATGTCAGGGCCATGATCGTAGTACATCACGTATAAGACCACCCGAAAAGTGATAAAATATGATCATCGGCCGAAGCAGAGCTTATTTCTCCCGTGGAGATTTTGTCACGATTCGTTACAAAGTTAAGTCTGCTGAAGTCTGGAGTTACAAGTAATTTAAGTTTGCTGAGCAGATCGGGTTGTACGTGAATACCATGGAGATAATATCTCAACATTTAACCAAGTCAACTATTGTAAATTATATTATTATTAAATCAAAGTTCAAGGGATAGTTTAAAAAAACAACGCCCGAGTCTAATCTTTCCCTAAAACAAAAACTAAAAATTAAAAACTTCATTGCAATTTCCGCCAATATCTCGTGTCATAACTCAAATTACGGAGATAATGCAGGTCAAAGATATTATTCAAATAAAGATTTCTTTTACATAAATCATGCACAATCAGCGAGAAAAGATTGCTTTGGGGTCTTCCTCTTCTCCCTGGTAAGTCCAGTGTATTGATGGCAAAAATGAGGGAAGAAAACGCTGGTCCGTCAATAGGACCCCGCAAAACATGTCCTAACATTCTCCACCGACTACGGGCCACTTTTTCTGACAATGGTTCAGCATTGCAGCGTTTATACAAGTTTTTGTTGGAGATGACTCCTGGGTACTTTATATTCAAAATAGTGCGAAGATGTCTGCGGTGAACAACATCTAGTTTTTCAAGGAATATTTTGGGGACGGCCCAACAGGATGAGTTGTACATAAGAACCGATACGACTAAAGCATTATACAGTATTAGACGTTTGTTTAGGGGCAGTTTATCACTCCAGGCCTTCTTGTAATTGTTAAAGGCAGCATATCCCAGGTTTATGCGACGCTGAATATCAGCTTTGCTACACAAGACGGACCCTAGAGTGATACTTTTCCTCCATGCTTCATTCCCCGACACTAATTTTCCATCACTGTCGACTTCACCCGTACTAGCTAAATAAACATGAGTGAAGTCCGTTTTGTCTTCATTGACAAAGAGGTTCCATTTCTCGAGTATAGCTGTTGCCTGGGGCAAAATAGCTCTCAAGTTGTCTTCCTCTTCATCATTGAAGTCAACATCATCAGCATATTCAGTGTCAAGTGGAAGGCCAGCAATAGTAATCGGGGGGATCGGCCTATCTAAACTGATTGTTATAGTCCATCTAAGTTCATTCAAAGCACCAGCCAAGACAAGGGTGAACAGACAGCCGGATAGACAGTCACCCTGGAAAGCTCCAAGGAGACTTAAAAACTCAGCTGAAAGAACTCCATTTACCTTCACCCGTAGCTTTGTGTTGGACAACAACAACCGGACAATCCTCAGCTCATCCTCAGTACAGCCACACAGTTTCAGGAGTTCAAGAATCGTAGTGCGTTTGATCGTGTCAAACGCACTAGACATATCAATGCCCATGCGATGATACTCCCATTTCTTCCTTTGGACAACTGACAGTAGAACTCGCTGACACCAAACAATATCAGCACAAGAACGAGCGCGTTTATATGCACACTGCCATGGACCAGTGAAGGCGTTCACTTTTCTTCTATCCTTTTAAGAGTAGCCATAGACAGAATTTTTCTGGCTGCATTGGACAAGGTGAGTGGACGTAAATTCTTCAGAGGACCAATAGGTTTTTTTGGCTTCTGTAAGGGTGTTATAGTAGCCTCTCCAATGGAAATGGGGAAAGTATGTGTCTCGAAACAACTGTTGATGATTCCAGCATAATGTTCATGGACTGTACTATTAGAGTACTTAATTAGCTCGTTGGGTATTCCATCGGGACCATTTGCCCTCCCATTTTTCAAGCTAGAGGTGGCTGCATGTATTTCAACTCCAGTAAAAGGGACATTGAGAGCACGTGGTAGACCCTCAAAAGGCTCGAGAGGTTGCTCATTGCGAGTCAGCTGTTTTTCGAGATAGTCTCTAACAACAGAAGCTTTCATGTCGTCAGATGCAATCAAACAGCCATTTTCATCATGAACACCAATCGAGTTATTAGGTGGTTTACTTTTCTGAAGATGTCTTACTGCTTCAAACATTTTCCTTGAATCGTTTGTGTTAGTAATATCACTATAGGTCTGATCAGCTTGAGCAGACCTCACTTCAACTAATCTTTTCTGGATACTATTAGTGAGGTGGTTGATGGATGACCTCAATGTAGTTCGATCAAGAGATTGATTATTGTTAAGTAGCTGTCGGAGATCGTGACGCTTTTCAACAAGCTCTTTGAGAGTGTCATCACTGCTGTGATGTTTCAAGCGAGCTTTAGGTTTCGGGCCGATGGAAACATTGGCAGCATCACGAATATGAGACATAAGATTTTGAAGGTCGGCATTTGGATCGTTGCTGGTCACAAAATTTGAGAACTTGCCTTCAAGGGCCAAGTGATATTTATGTTGCATATCTTTGTTGCTTACAAGTTCTGATATATTATAAGAAGGAACACGACGTTGTTTAGGTTTGAAACAAAGATGAATGTTGCTGAAATTGATGCGAGCAATGACAAGTCTATGATCTGAAAATGTTTTAGTACCAGCATAAGTTCTTGATTGAGTCAAAAGACACTTAGATCTATTTCGGCATAGTATGTAATCTATTTGAGAGTATACAGGCAGTGTCTTCTTACTGTACCGACCAGCCGACCAATCCTTCCGCCAACCAGTAAATGATGTAACACGTCTGCTAGGTTGTATAAAACTAGTGTTCACAGCAAACAGATTATTTTCTGAGATAAAATCCAGTAATCTATAACCATTTTCGTTCCTTACTCCCATTCCGTATTTCCCCATATATCTACCAAAACCCTGTTCAATATCAGAAGGGGATAATTTACCCAGTTTTGAATTAAAGTCACCCAGGAATTGCAACTCCACATTAGAGGGGACATTCTTGGCCTCTCTTAGCTGCCCATAAAAGTTATCCAAAACAACTGGATTTTTACGGACTAGCCCCTGATGTGGACAGTAGGCATTGATCACCCTGCAACGTAGGGGTGTACCGCTACGTGAGGGGATGCAAATATCGACATAGCATACCCGGTCACTGATGTACTTCCAGCAAACCACATAGTTCATCATGCGAGGACTGATTATAAAACCCAAGCCTCCATGGCGACTGTCCAACTGCTCGAACAGAAACAAGTTAAAACCGTTGCGCAAAACAAGGCTGTCTGATTCGGTGACTTTAGTTTCCTGCAGAGCGCAGATGTCGACATTGTACTTTTCACAGTCTAATCCTAGTAACTCACGTTTACTATGTAGGCTATCATCTTGCTGAACACCGAGCCCACGGATGTTAAATGTGGCGAAGCTGATCATTAATGCAATGGTTGTTGATACAAATGATTTCTTCTTCGGGTTAAATATGTTGGAGTTGGCGTCACCACCGTCTCCACCGCTGACATTACTCGAACGGACCATCTAAAATTATATCTAAAAATTACATCTAAATTATATTAAGATTGAATATTCATTATTCACGATATTTGCCTCCTGATAGTTGGATAATATCCGGTTGGAAGAGACAAGGACAAATGAAACAGGAAGTTAGGAATGTAGGCAAACTTTCATTATTTCAATCATGAGACTGATAAACAGCGAAATATACTCCATCATTTGATATTTACCTCCGTTTGCAGGTGAGAAACAGTCATGGTAAGACGTGGGGAGAAGAGGGGTATTTTAGAATTAAGAGAAATATCAACTCATGTGGTATCGAGGAAGACATGGCGGTAAGAATACCTTTTACTTGGTTTATTTTATTGTATATTCATGGTTATTTTTTCTTTTTCATTTAACATTTTTGAACGCAGTGAAATTATTTCAAATCCTTTCTGAAGCAGTTATTCAAAGACAAAAGCTGACTAAGGAAAATGAAAACATATTTTAGAATATGATCGTAATGATATGTGAACAAAAAATGATTGATTAACTGAAATTAACTGAACTCACTTCAGGCAGTAGTGATAGAAGGAAGGCACATGAAGAAAACAATAGCTCCAAATTAACCGTACTCCCCTCAGGCAGTAGTGATAGAAGGAAGGCACATGAAGAAAACAATAGCTCCAAATGGATGTCCTCTTGATAGACCTTACCTGTGTGAGGATATTTACACTTGTACCGCGCAGACTGAATGTACCACTGCTATGGTGAGATAAGTTTATGGTTTTAATTAAATTAATTAATTTTATGGTTTTTATGTAGAGTCGGTTATGATTGAACTTTATTGCCTAACACATGTTTTTTAAAGCTCTTGCTACTATAAACTTTCGTATCTGCGCTTGTACCTTTCAAGAACCCACTTCCAGTAACAATTAATTAATTAATTATTAGTAATTAATTAATATATTAGTGATAATTACTTTTACATCAAGAACCCACCTATTATTAAGTTATTTGCCTTGTACTTATATCAAACTTACCCCCTAGACTTTCGCCTAATAATACAATAGTCTAATATGAAACATCGTTTCTAGGAGGAAGAAGAAGAAGAAGAAGAAGAAGAAAAGGAAGAAGAAGAAGAAGAAGGACCTGCCGCTCTGATCAATTCTGGTAAGAATATTGTTATTTTTTCAGTGAAAAGTTACGATTAAGGCATGATATTCTGACTTATTACAGAGTCGGCTGGAATGATTCTATTTTATGAAATCGATGCGAATTCATTAGTTTTTGATGGGTGTCCTATGTTTTCTTGTCACCATTTATTATTTATATTAAAGCCAAATAAGAGCTTGTATCTCCCGACAAAGCTTCATAGATAAGCTTGTTTCCAATAAGATCTCATTAGACTTCAAGGTGTAAGAATCTGATAACGTTATTTAACAGGTGCATCCTCAATGCAAAGACCTGGAATCCCAAGCAGTTCTTCCTCCAGATCTAGTTCTTCCTCCTCAGGCTCAAGGCCGGGTATTCCAAGCAGAGGTGTGTTATAAATAATTATTCTTTTAAATGCACATTAATTTATTAAAAAAATCCCTAGTGCACAAGATAAATAAATAAAACTGGGATCATATAAATTTTATATACTCTCTATTCAAGCGTTAAAACACTTTTATTTCAGGGTCCATGTCATCTAGCGGGGGATCTAAATCAGGTGCAATATCAGCAGCAGATGCAATGCGGATGCAACAACAAATAGCGAATTCTAGAGGCAAGAGTGGACTTCCAAGCAGCAGTTCCTCCTCAGGCTCAAGACCTGGAATCCCAAGCAGTTCCTCCTCCAGATCTAGTTCTTCCTCCTCAGGCTCAAGGCCGGGTATTCCAAGCAGAGGTGTGTTATAAATAATTATTCTTTTAAATGCACATTCATTTATTAAAAAAATCCCTAGTGTACAAAATAAATGAATAAAACTGGGATCGAATAAATTTTGTATACTCTCTATTCAAACTTCTCACTTACGTTAAAAAACGTTTATTTCAGGGTCCATGTCATCTAGCGGGGGATCTAAATCAGGAGCAATATCAGCAGCAGAAGCAATGCGGATGCAACAACAAATAGCAAATTCTAGAGGCAAGAGTGGACTTCCAAGCAGCTCTTCCTCATCAGGCTCAAGACCTGGAATCCCAAGCAGTTCTTCCTCCAGATCTAGTTCTTCCTCCTCAGGCTCAAGGCCGGGTATTCCAGGCAGAGGTGTGTTATAAATCATTTTTCTTTTAAATACACATTAATTCATTCACAAAATCCCTAGTGTACAAGATAAATAAATAAAACTGGGATCGAATAAATTTTGTATACTCTCTATTCAAACTTCTCACTTACGTTAAAAAACGTTTATTTCAGGGTCCATGTCATCTAGCGGGGGATCTAAATCAGGAGCGATATCAGCAGTAGAAGCAATGCGGATGCAACAACAAATAGCAATGTCTAGAGGCAGAAGTGGACTTCCAAGACGAAATAAGGTATGAAAATAGACTGGATTTCATTGCAAATTGTTCAGCAGATTATAATTAATAGGAAGTTGTATGAAGTTTTGACCTTATTCATTTTGCAGTTTTTGGTTTTGAGGTTTTTCCATTATATTGACACTTATCCGATATTTTGTTTAAGTTCATTTCTTTTTAGAAGCGACACAACATTCAAAAGGCGAAAAAAACAAGATCAAGGTCCAAACGTGCAGCCTGTGCAGACCGATTGGGAGCAGCTAAGTAAGTTCTATTTTCTTATTTCATGTTTTAATCATGTTTTATCAGATTTTAAAATTAAAGTCAATGCTTTGTCTGTGATTGCTTACAAACACAGTACTTGCGAAAATTGTGCTTGCAAACATTGTGCTCTCAAACATTGTGCTTACAAACATTGCAAATATTGTGCTTGCAAACATTGTGCTTAACACCATTGTGCTTGCAAACATTGTGCTCTCAAACATTGTGCTTAACACCATTGTGCTTAACAACATTTTCTCGCAAACATTGTGCTCACTCACTCACTGCAGGTGTGCTGCGCTCATAGCCAGAGGAGCAGATGTCTGTGGTGGTTTCTATTTACCAATGTGTCTTTGGACTTGCGATAAATGTGAAAAGTAAGTTTAACTTTACATTTAGACAAGAGTTAAGGAAAAATGCAATCGAAGAAGAAAAATCTTTATTTCTAGAGTATAAATTTGAGGTGTTTTTTATTTGTAGTAGAGGCTATGGTGATTCGATTAATACCTCATTTTCAACAGCCTTAGCTTTCCCATACTGACCTTTTTCCCCCGCCTCAGTGCTGTCGTGAAAGAGAAGAAAGGCTCCGAAAAGATCGGAGAATGTATACCTCCTTACATACCTTATGGTAAGTTAATTTTGGTATTCCATAACTGATTAGGTTGAATAATTACTAAAGGGTTTCATTTGTGATACTTTAGTTTTTAAACTTTCAAATAAAAGCAGGTTGTGTGATAAATCTATTTTTAATGATGTTTTTAACCCAGGAAAGGTTTTGAACAAGAATAAAATCATGAAAGCCAATGAAGAATTAGAGGTAAGATTCCAGTTTTTTTTTTTAAATTTCTGCAGTCACATCCCGTGAAAAATAAAACTTCGTCCTTATATCAAGAGTCTGATATGTTTTCGATCGCAATTATCACAGTTTTGATAAATATACTGCCCCTTGCTCTTACCATGATCCGATCAACCCAAACCGTAACTGTAACCGTTACCCTGACCGTAACCCTAACCATTTCTCTAGAGACGTGCACCACCGTGATTCGCCGCCAAAATTTTGACCCAGACCGCCGCCGCGAAATTTTTACCCAGACCGCGGTCTTTAAGCTTTTAAGGTATTGGCCGACAAATCAACAAATACATGACAGCTGTTGACGATAAATTAGTTCTTCAATATAGAGTGATATTAAAAAATCAATTCTTATACCTTAAGAACGACAAATTTAGTCTAGACTAAATGTGTCAAGCATGCAATAAAAGTTTAAATGTGTTTAATCGATTCATCAGATCGAACTCGTTCAGAATCCGGAGAGAAGAGGGAAAATTTTGAGGGAAAAATGAGGCTAACAAGACATTTCTAATTTTTGAATTATATCTGAATAATAACGTCTATCAAAGCATCCTCTGACCTAAAATGCATGAGATAGATTCTCCGCGCCGACCAATTTTGGCGTCCAGACCGCCACCGGACCGCCGCCTAAAAGTAACATCATGTTATACTACTATTACTAGTCTTCATCATAAATCATCGATAAGGTCTTTCTAGTATCTAGGAATTAATATTTTATTAGTTCTTGACCGAGGTCACTGAAAATTGTTTATTATTTTTTAAATCATCGAATATCTTATATAAGTAAATAATTAAATAATAAGAAATGTCTAAGTATAAGTGTAGACTTTAAGCAAATCATCAAAGGAGTTGCAAGAATTTGCACTTTTGTAATTACCAGCAAATTTAGAACCTCAGGAAGCTTTGATGTGTTGATAACATCCAGTTTACTTATTTATTTATTCAGCGTTAATTTATACAATAAATTTGTCTAGTCTTATATTAATATCTTACCTTAATTTAAAAAATTAGACTTAATCAACAACGTAAATTTGCTTTATAGTTTATACTCCCCGACACATACCTACCTCCAGGCGCACTAGCCCGGTTCATAAAACTAAATATTATCAAATTAAAATTTATATAGTTGTTCATAAGGCCAAATACAAAAAATTTTTAAGCTGCAACTCCAACCGGGACCACTGTCACCTGCCACGCCCATTTTTATCAATTTTTAACAGGTAAAAATCTTCATATCATCAAATTAGGCATAAAGGAGTGCTTTTAGTGCTCCAAAAGTTTGGGGTCTAATAGTGATGGTAGAAAAAAGTTAACTCAAGTCAAAGTCTCAAGTCTCCACGACGCTTGGTTTTGGGCGCACCGGATCTCGCCTGGTGCACACTTTTGATAATTTTATTGCAATTCAAATAGTGCCACAAACTTTACATTATTTATTAATTTACTTTATCAACAGGTGGAGTGCCAACCTGGGTATACTCTAGTCGGAACAACCAACAAATGTCTGATTCAAGATATCTTTACTAATGATGATAAAGATGCTAGACTACTACCAGAATGTATCAAGGTAATTTAATAAAATTTTAAATTCTAAATTTCAACTACTATTGTTCATAAATTTGCTTGTTTACTGAATCTAAACCTTTTCATACATTATTATACTTACGGAATCGTCAACCCCAGTCCTAGAGTTCAATTTATTGTATAACATTATATCGAGAAAGTGAAACTCCAGTTGAGGATGAAGGGGGTTAGGACCCCTTTAACTGAACATTATACATTTACCTTATTATACGTGAACATAAACAATTCGTCGACTAAAAAGATGTTTTCTTAGCTCGGTGAAGATGTTCTTATTGGCGATGGTTCGACTTACAAAGGGACAAAGAAGTCTTACAATTACCATGGCAGATGGTTTGAATGTGATAGCTGGAACTACGATGTCTTCCGAGGTTACTTTTTTATTATTTTTTTCTTTTTAAACAGTATTTTTTAATTAAATGAAAAAGTGCAATATATTAACTCATGACTGGCTCTAAGTTTGAAAGTTTTGGAATCAATATTAGGCACCATACCACGATAGAGAAGCTTTTGTTATTTAAGAAATCTTATCAATATGATTAATAATTAATTATTTAATAATAATAACTCTTGTCAGGTGTTCTGATGGGCGAAAAAAAGGCCATGGAATTTCTTTTGGGAAATCACAATTATTGCAGGAATCCCGGTGGAATGGAGGTATATTAATTTGAAATAATTCATCACACCACGAGACATGACGTCACACACCACGTGACATGACGTCACACACCACGTGACATGACGTCACACACCACGTGACATGACGTCACACACCACGTGCCATGACGTCACACACCACGGCATCTATAGTAACATTATTAATGATATTAATTATTGTAACCATAGTAACCATAGTAACCATAGTAACTGCATGGCGTATTGACCATAATAATCATAGTTCCCATGGTTACCATATTTACCATAGTAACCACAGTAACCATAGTAACCATAGTATCCACAGTAACCACAGTAACCATAGTAACCACATGTTAACCACAATAACCACAGTAACAACAGTAACCATAGTAACCATAGTAACCACAGTAACCATAGTAACCACATGTTTTAACGGCCAGGTAGCGCAGTTGGTTAGCCAGCTTTGCAATCGTGAGATTGCGGGTTCAAATCCCACTGCCTGCCTGGTCGTGGGGTGAGTGTCGTTGACATTCAGCTAAGGATCGTGAGTGGTCTATGCAGCCCCCCGGTCTACTCAGCCGAATACTCGAGAAATCGGGTGTAAGGGTTAAATGAGGAGCTGCACATTACAGCAAAGTCTCGGGCGAAGAAAGTATGGTACACACTACCTTAACCGTCACTGGCTAAAAACAAATCCTTCGGCTTCCTGTAATTGGCTGGTTGCACTTGTGTAACAATATGGCTGTTGGAATACTCCGAAGTAAAATAAGTGTCTAGATAAAAAATTTAAAAAAAACCATAGTAACCACAGTAACCATAGTAACCATAGTAACCACAGTTACCACAGTAAGCACATGTTAACCACAATAACCACAGTAACCATTGTAACCACAGTAACCATAGTAACCACAGTAACCATAGTAACCACATGTTGACCACAATAACCATAGTAACCATAGTAACGATAATAACCTATTCCAGCCAGTACCGTTCTGCATTGGAAGCGCACGTGGTCTCGGAGAAATAGTCTACTGTTTCGAGCACCCTGGTTGTGATACATGCAAGGGAGCTGTTAACAAATACGAAGCTTCGTACTGTGAATCACAGTAAGTTTAGCTCATAGATACGAACTCGTGATCCGAGAGTTTAGAATTTAGCAATGAGTTCTTGAGTCGGGAAGTAGTACGAACTTTTTTTTCTGTAACATTTCCGCATTCTAGCTATCTTTACAGACTACAGCTATACTAATTTCTAATTTCTAATTACGGTATTTTACAAATGTTGAATCTGAGGTCCTCGTCACCCCTCAGGAAGAGGTTCTGCAAGTACGGAGACAGAACCACCAAGGCTAGAGTATCCTTTACGTTGGATGTTTGCCAGGCTACCTGTTGTGCTGAAAACCAGTGCTCTCTGACATAAGATATTCTGCACGTGCGCTGGAGTGTGACTTTACTGCGAATAAAGACGACGATTAAAGAAGTGACGATATGAACTTGCAAAATGGAAATTGTAAAGAGGACTTGCAATTATTATTGGTCCGTATGAAAAAAAGCCCGAAATGTGTGTTGACTCGCATATAGAAATAAAATGACTGAGCATGATTCATCGTATGAAGTTTAAAGATTAGTATTTGTCATCAACTAGCGTTTTGAAAATTTGCGCTCTTTCGCAAGAAAAACATAATCACTTTTTGAAAATCGGAAACCAATTAACGATCAATTACAGGAAATAAGTTTCGGTAATTTATCGTTAATTGGTTTTTGCAATTTTCAAAAAGTAGGTCTGTTTTGACAATTGGTCTTTATGTTTCACATTTTTATATAATATATTTCGTAACCCTAATACTATGCCGGACCCTCAATTCAGTTTAAAGATTTTTTCGCAAATATTCTGATACATCGTTTGACAGTGTTACAGTCGAACAAAAACTCTGTATTGATTACTCAACTATATTTAATGTAGACCGAGGAGTCCTAACTCTACGTGGGTCCTGAGATGACGTTTTTCTTGTTTAAATAAATATAATGTTGACAACTCCAATTTCATACTTTTTAACTTCTAATATTAAATTATTATTTTGAAAAGTTTTTCGATTATCACGAGCTATTCCTTTTCATAATTAATTAATTAATCAATTAATTACATAATTATGTTAAAGAGTTGATAAATTTTCGGCTTTAAGTGACCTGTTCTATGTTGTTGATATGACATTGGGGTTGTTCGGGTTATTATTTCATATTTTGATACGAAAAGTTTTTAAGATTATCAAGCGCTATTCCTTTTCATAATTAATTAATTAATTAATTACATAATTATGTTAAAGAGTTGATAAATTTTCGGCTTTAAGTGACCTATCCTATGTTGTTGATATGGCATTGGAGTTGTTCAAGTTTCTACATATTGTATTGGTTAACAAAAAAACCGCTTTGAATATCTATATAGATTAAATGATTGAAGGATGTTTGATACGAACAATTTTTTACGATTATCACGAGCTACTCCTTTACATAATTAATAAATTAATCAATTAAATAATTATGTTGATAATTATGTTGATAGAGTTGATACATTTTTGGCTTTAAGTGACCTCATGTCCAATGTTGTTGATATGGCATTGTATTGGAGTTGTTCGGGTTTCTACTCTGAATATCTATATAGATTAAATTTAAAGGATTGAAGGATGTTTGGCCCATGTTTGGCCCATGTTTGGTCCATGTTTGGCCCATGTTTGACTCGTGTTTGGCCTATTTTTGACCCATCATGTTTAGCCATAAGAATATATAAATATCAGTTGATCATCATTTTTACCGCTACGTGAAGTTTTAGTGATCTAAATTATAGTACCCGCAACACTTAGTGACGCTGAATCATAATTCGAAATTATAAACACTAAAAAATAGAAAATACCTTCTCGGACCTTATTTGACCGGACATTAAATGAACGAACATAATTATGAACGGAAATTAAAATGAACGCTCGATGGCATTCAAAACCATCAAAAATTTACATTTTTAAATCTTTTTTTTGAGTTTTTAAAATTTTAGCAGATAATTTGTAAATTAATTTTGTATACAATGAGCAAGAAAGGCAGTCGTTAAGCAGTAAAAAATATTTGTAGATCAGTGTATATGATCATGAAAGTTATGTATAAAATCTCGGCAAGCCTCGTGGGCGAAAGTTTTGATATTGCATGAGAATTGGCATGTGATAAATGTATACCTTATCGAATGACGAATCTCATTTGAAATTGTCAAAATATCTATGATTATGAAAGTTGTGTAAAAACAACTAATACGAAATATGACCAGATTTGATGATCATATCACAGGTCATCTTCCTCAAATGGGTTATCGTGCATTAAATATTCCATGCTTATAAAAGCATCATACCAGTAATACCTGCTTTTTGAAAACAATTTTTTATTTGACCACCTCGGTCCTGCATATCAGTGTAAACGTTTACAAGATGTGGAGGTAAATAATAACTCCGAAGAATTGAACGAGGAAAACAAAGATCAAGAAAGTGTTCATGCCATAATGTGATACTTAGAATATTTGAATTGTATAATAACTCGTTTTTCATTGATCCAACGATATAGTTTAGTCCGAATCCGATGATAGATTTTACGATTGACTGAAATTAAAAATTTGTCATATCCTAAACATGAGTTTGCAGTGGAATAATTTTGGAAAAAATCTCGACGGATTTTAACTTGGACGGACCTTAAACGGACGGACTTTATTTGAATGGACATTAAGATGAACGCTAGGACCTCCAGTGTTCAATTAATGTCCGTTCAAATCTGGTCCGATTACACCCCAGTTCCATGGCCGGATATTATGCCAAATTATTAAACGGAGGTCCATTTCCCGTAGATCATCTCCGGAGATGATTCTCCGGCTCCGTCTACTGTAGTAGACGGAGATGAAGCTCTCCGGGAATTTCTCGGAGATTGATTCATACAGAATCATACAGAATCAACAAAATTACCGTAAATGGTCTCCGGTCGTTGAACTGCAAACCGGAGAAATATCCGGAGAAATATCAGTAGACGATCTCCGTCTAATAATTTGGCATAATATCCGGCCATGGAACTGGGGTGTAAGGTAGTTGACATCTAACACATATTAGCTCAAAAAATAGCACCATGAGAACATGAGATGTATAACCTGTAGTTTTATCTTTAGTACCATGTTCAAATTGCAAACAACCAGTAATAAACAACCACTCATGATTCGAGATTAAACAGTTGCCCTTTGCTTTATCGAGACAGTTTTATTCCACTGCTTCAGCTTGTTTTCCAGCTCTCACATACAGCTTAAATACTTATTACTTTATTAAATATTGATGGCAACTAAGGTTTTTAGAGTTAAAGTTGATATACAGTTGTAGTGAGCTATAGTGTAGTTTGACTGATAATTGTTGTTCACCAATTTGTGTCGATACACGATCTGTTGAGCAGTGCCCATTTAAAGATTAATTAATTAATTAAAGATTTTAAGGCGTTAGTGCCGAGTAATGCCTCCGGTAGCGCTCCTCAATCAATCAAACCATTTAACTAATTTATGTGCTACTTTAACTCTTAAAATATGTAACAAGTACCATGTAATGATTTAAATTGATTAAATAGTAGTATGCGAAAAGTAACATTAATTAAATTGTTTCAATTATTATATAACTATATAATAATAATTGTAACTGTTTACTCTACTACTCTATGTGAATAGAACAAACTTACAGCTTTTTGACGGTAACTATTTCGACTTTTTCATTTTCTATCAATTTTTAGAGATTATCATCTATACTTAACCGGTATTTAAGCATAATCTGTTAAAGATAATCTACAAAATAAATACATATTGTTGTCTCCTGGCACCACTTTGGGGTAAGACGGGTTCCCGGGTGCCTGCTAGTATAGTGAGTATACGCTAAGTAATCTGTGTCAAGAAGTGAGTGTTAGGGATCTCATTGGCAACTTTATGTTTAATCCTGTTAAAAAAACAAATTAATAATTATGGTAAAATGAATGGCCTCTCAAAACTTACCCAGATATACAATAATTGCTATCATGATATGTCATGTTAACAGTTAAACAAATAACTTGGGTCGTGTCGATTAAGAAAGATCGATTGACATAAAAAATTGGAATCACACTGAAAATTTCCATAGGATATGAATTACATGTTTCACATGACAAAACATGATAATGACTATATCCCGTTAAGTTTTGCGAGGCCATCAATTTTACCATAATTTGTTTCGTGTGAGTGTCCATTGGTAGACAAAGTAGTGAGGCATATTGTAGATTAACCGCCCTAATATGCATTAACCTTTTCTGAAATTGCAATCATACTGAAAATGTCCATAAGATATGCATTAACCTTTTTTGATTCTAAGACCTTAGTACTTATACTTTTGTGGAAAATGCAGCACTTATAGCACCGTAATGCTTGTTTTGAATTTGCGCTTTGTAGCTCGACCATACTCATGTCTCATATACTTAAAAAGCGGTTGAGATCTCTAATAACGATGATAAGGTTAGTTATACTTGTCATACGTTGTATGACCCGCCGCGCACGAGTGCGCGGCTCCCCATGTATTGTCAGTGAAACGACCGTGAAACGACCGTGGGGGTCACGACGTGATACAAAGTTATACTTAGTGGTTGATTTGTTTGTTTATTTTGACTGGCTGAACTTATCGAAATATCGGCCAAGTATCGTCACTGTCCATTTACCCTCGTCATCTTACATTTTGATTTACGATATTCACGTCAAACAGACTCGTAGATTTATCAATTTATGATAAATCACAACCTTCGACACTCACCAAATTAAACAGCAACTAATTCTTTACTCTCGTGTTCGTATTTCCCAGACTCAATTTTAACATGTCAACCTTGTACCTCTCATCTGAACAATAATGTTTGTGTCTGATGCACAAAAGTAAAAACTGGCCAGACAAAAAACTGCAAGATCTCTTTGCTCCTTCATAAATCTCTTTGTCTCGAGTACTTTTGTCCGGAGTACCCGTGAGACTGATAGCTAGCCAGTGATCCACGCTCAAACCACGTGATACTGACCACGTGATACTGATAACAGATTCTTCATCAACCACGAGCTGACAACCTTTTAATACAAGTTTTATATAACGTAATTGGAAAACAATAAAACAAATCATTGGCGCTTAATATTGTCCGACCGCCAAATTAATCGCAACAAAAGACCCTACGGTGTAGAAGATTAGGTTGACGCAAATCATTGATCGTTCAAGTAAGGATTAAATTTATCGCTGGAATCCACCTTGGATTGAACAATAAGCCGAATTAATTCTCTCTATTGATCGGAATGTTACTCACAAAGCGCATAGTTTGTCCGGACGGATACCACCCGAGCGTGGATAGACGGACCCAATTGGGACTTCTCACGTGACCCGTCTATTTACATCACACAATCGAATACCATTGCGGTTAACCGCAATGGTATTCGATTGTGTGATGTAGTCCGTATTTCTGACTCACCCCTCCCAAGAGGGTCACGTGGTTTCCGTCGCGTTTGTTCCAATGAAGTCACGTGATTACCGCGTCGCGCCTATTTCAATGGAGAATTCGTCTGAGTAAACCGAGATCTTTCATTACTTATTTTACTTCTTTTCGTACGTAACGGTGAAGAACTAAATCTATTACGGAGGTGAGGTTGCCATACTCTTCATTTGATTTAAGGATTATTTTTAATTTGTATTAACAAATTTATTCAAGTTATTAGTCGATAATAGTGTTACTTTACTAGGCTCATTACTAAGCTGCGCATCACTAGACATAACTATTAAATCCCTATTGCATGTCAACATCAAAAACTTTTTATTCTTTTACTATTGACGATAAAACAACAAAATGAAAAATATAGGGTAACAAACTCAGTAACTCAGAGTCAGTCACCAGTTAGTAACCAGTAAGTACCCAGTTAGTGAGTTAGTAACCAGTTAGTGAGTTAGTAACCAGTTAGTGAGTTAGTAACCAGTTAGTGAGTTAGTAACCAGTTAGTACCCAGTTAGTGAGTTAGTAACCAGTTAGTACCCAGTTAGTGAGTTAGTACCCAGTTAGTGAGTTAGTACCCAGTTAGTAATCAGTTAGTACCCAGTTAGTGAGTTAGTAACCAGTTAGTAACCAGTTAGTAACCAGTTAGTGAGTTAGTAACCAGTTAGTAAATTTATATTTTTCAGAAGAAGTTACGTACCAATGAGGGTATTGTTAGTAGCATGTGCCATATTGGCGCTCACTGCCGCGAGGGAGGCAGATGATATCGAGATTGAGATGGCCTTCGACAGTAAGTTAAGGGGGGGGGGGGGGGGGGGGTTCACCCTGATTTTTTTGTGAAACTTGTTTTCGAGATAGCAGTTGACCAACAAACTAAGACCGGTGACCGAACTTTTGAGGGGGTCCCGGACCCCAACCGCCAAACGGTGCCCGCGGGGCAGCCACGCCCATATTTTGTCCAAATTAGGCCCAATTTAGCCAAATACCCTGAACATGCCTAAAACCCAGATTTTAGGTGCTCTACTTGTAGCTAGTGGTCTCCTGAACTACTTAAGTTTTGGGACAGAATTTTGAGTTAGGCCTTTAAAACATTTGGCGGCCAAATTCTGAAAAATGCCCGGCAAATTTTGGAATTTGGCCGCCAAATTTTTTTAAAGGCCTAACTCAAAATTTTGTCCCAAAACTTAAGGTCGAAATGCGATTCTACGTTGATTCTGAAAATTTCATGTAAAAATATTGAAACCCTATTGAGTTCTATTGTTTTGAGCGAAGTCAGTTTTGCAAATATCGCGAACTGAGATATGGGCAATTTTGTTCATATTTTGCGATTATTTGAACACAAAATCCACAGTTAGGGAGATATTGAGCTGATATTCATAGAGAATGTGTAGTATAGGCTTACCTTCCATAAAAAGTTAGTTATATTCAAAAATATTGATATTTGATCAATTTATGGGCCAAAATCGATCAAAATTGGTGCGTATGCCCAAATATGGTCATATGGTTTTTGGCTCATAACTCAGCCATTTTTTGTCCAATCTTGATGAAAATTCATATACGGGTTCAGGGGACCACTAGCTACAAGTAAAGCACCTAAAATCTGTGTTTTAAGCATGTTCAGGGTATTTGGCTAAATTGGGCCTAATTTGGACACAATATGGGCGTTTGGCGGTTGGGGTCCGGGACCCCCTCAAAAGTTCGGTCACTGGTCCTAGTTTGTTGGTCAACTGCTATCTCGAAAACAAGTTTCACAAAAAAATCAGGGTGAACCCGCCCCCTTAACCTTTTATTAATTAATTTTACCTTTTGTTAAGTAAGTTAACCTTTTATTAAGTAGGTTTACTTTTTATTGGAAAGACCATTCTTACAATTACTTCTATCTTTGACAGGAATTTCACTTTTATTTGGAGTAGCATTTTTACAAATGGGCTCAGTCCGTCAGCATTTGTTTTGCTTTAATCGTTATCTCAGCTTATCTTTCAGTTTCACTGCTGTCGACAATTGATATCCATTGCTATTTTTCCATTCTTATCTAGTGGCAGTAAAATCAAATCCATGGTATTTTACCACCATTGAAGATTTACCATGCTTAATAAGCATGGTAAATATAGGCATGGTCGGATTTTGAAAATATTAACCAACATAGATTATGTATAATCAGTATCTTAAAATACGCTCATCTTGTAGAGCTGCTTGAAGACGAAGGAATTGAGATATCTGATGAGGAGTATGAGTACAGACTGGGAGGATTCGCCCTCAACTACTTGGCAGCAGAAGATGATGAGTAAGTTTATATTTAAATTCAGCTGCAATTGTAATACTCACGTATACGCTTGGAGAAGCTTAGAAATTTGGCGAATCACAAGTCGTGATTTACCAATATCAACTACGCTTTACCCTTTAAAAAACATGCAGCTCATCCGAAAGCTTGATCTAATAGTAATATATTTTAAAAGCTTATTTATATTATAACTTAGAATCTTTACTTTAGTTTTTTTTTATTATAAAAATTATTTCTAAAATATTTACCTCATTTCAGTCCTATTAACCTTGATATGATCTACGATGCGGACGAGTTGGTAAAACAGAACGGAGCTAAACTGATCCCGACACTCAAGTCAGAACTTGAAGAGGAACTTGCGAAGAGGGTAAGTTTATATTCTAGTTAGTAACCAGTTAGTAACCAGTTAGTAACCAGTTAGTAACTAGGTAGTTAGTAACTAATTTAATGATTTTAAAAAGATCAAATGATGCAACACTGGTTAAACATATTTAAACATAAACCATCTACTGAAAACCCACTTATAAATTCCTAATTTTTCAGTCAGTGGACCCGTTTGATATGGGTGGTCAGGCTACTCCTCCAGGATTTGACGGACGTTACTACAAACGTAAAATTATCATCAACCCGGCCAACCACCAGGGAGTCTGTGGAAACTGCTATCTTCATACATGTATGTAGTTAGGTAGTTGAGATAAGAATATGATTAATTATGTAATTAGTTGAGATAAGAATATAATTAATTATGTATGTAGTTGAGGTAATAATATAATCAATAATGTATGTAGTTGAGATAAGAATATAATTAATTATGTATGTAGTTGAGATAAGAATATAATTAATTATGCATGTAGTTGAGATAAGAATATAATTAATTATGTATGTAGTTGAGAATTGAGATAAGAATATAATTAATTATGTATGTAGTTGAGATAATAATATAATCAATTATGTATGTAGTTGAGATAAGAATATAATTAATTATGTATGTAGTTGAGATAAGAATATGATTAATTATGTAATTAGTTGAGATAAGAATATAATTAATTATGTATGTAGTTGAGATAATAATATAATCAATAATGTATGTAGTTGAGATAAGAATATAATTAATTATGTATGTAGTTGAGATAAGAATATAATTAATTATGCATGTAGTTGAGATAAGAATATAATTAATTATGTATGTAGTTGAGAATTGAGATAAGAATATAATTAATTATGTATGTAGTTGAGATAATAATATAATCAATTATGTATGTAGTTGAGATAAGAATATAATTAATTATGTATGTAGTTGAGATAAGAATATGATTAATTATGTAATTAGTTGAGATAAGAATATAATTAATTATGTATGTAGTTGAGATAATAATATAATCAATTATGTATGTAGTTGAGATAATAATATAATTAATTATGTATGTAGTTGAGATAAGAATATTGATGAGTTTCGTTAGTTCCCTAGAATAGTTACTCTGTTAATGTTACATAACGACCTACTTCTTTCTTCGCATCCGTACCATTCCAGATCTTGACACAAATCGTCCCTTTTGTTTGCATTTGTCTTTTTTTTCTGGATGAACTTCAAACCTTTAAAATAACCCTGAAACCATTTAGTTGTTGCCGCTTTGGAGTTGGCTTACACCAGAGCTTCGGGGAAGAAGGTTAAGTTTAGTGAGCAGGAGATGACGGATTGTTACAATAATGGTTGCGAGGGCGGAGACTTCAGAATGGTATGTAAACATTTTTATATGGTTATATTAGAGATAACATATTTAAATAGGATACCAAATTAAATTTGTTTACGTTTAGGTTCTCCTTGAAATCTTTGAAATCCTCATAGTCATATCACAATTCTTCTTATCCCTAAAATCCTTGTAATCCTTGTAATCCTTGTAATCTTTGCAATATTTGAAATCTTTGTAATATTTGTAATCTTTGTAACCCTCGTAATCTATTATAATCTTTGTAATCCTCGTAATCTATTATAATCTTTGTAATCCTTGAATAATAATCTTTGTAATCCTCGTAATCTATTATAATCTTTGTAATCCTTGAATTATAATCTTTGTCATCCTCGTAATCTATTATAATCTTTGTAATCCTTGAATTATAATCTTTGTAATCCTCGTAATCTATTATAATCTTTGTAATCCTGGTAATCTATTATAACCCTTGTAATGTTTGTAGGTTGCAGTAACCCTAATTGTAATGTTTGTAGGTTGCAGTAACAATGGGATATCTATTATAACCGTTGTAATGTTTGTAGGTCGCAGTAACCCTAATTGTAATGTTTGTAGGTTGCAGTAACCCTAATTGTAATGTTTGTAGGTTGCAGTAACCCTAATTGTAATGTTTGTAGGTTGCGGTAACAATGGGATATCTATTATAACCGTTGTAATGTTTGTAGGTCGCAGTAACCCTTGTAATGTTTGTAGGTTGCAGTAACCCTAATTGTAATGTTTGTAGGTTGCAGTAACCCTAATTGTAATGTTTGTAGGTTGCAGTAACAATGGGATATCTATTATAACCGTTGTAATGTTTGTAGGTTGCAGTAACAATGGGATATCTATTATAACCGTTGTAATGTTTGTAGGTTGCAGTAACCCTTGTAATGTTTGTAGGTTGCAGTAACAATGGGATATCTTAACAAGCTGAGCAGTGTAGCTAACTACGGACCCTACAAATCTAAGCAGTTAACTTGCCGGGCTGACACTACTCCGGATTCGCTGGCCGCTGTTAAGGTAATGTTCACGTTTTGTTATTTTAATAAATTATATCAAGACAGACTGCTTGAGAAAAATGTATAATTCGAAACATATCATTAAAGAAGTACTGTTTATAATATTCTCTGATAAATCACTAACTTACCAACTAAATATTATAAAATCTTCAGTTAATTATAATAAGGCACTGTCATGATAATGGCGAAATTTGGACCAGGATCTATGCTGATACATCGCACGCGCTAAATTGCACGTGCTAAATTGCACGTGATAAATTGCACGGATATTAATCTAAAAACCACCACCTGCAGGTTGAGGGATTTATTGACGTACCAGCCAACAAAGTCGAGGAAGCAATCATACTGTACGGAAGTGTTATGACCTGCATGAAATGGGGCTCCAGCCCTGGAGATGCATGTTATATGTCCAACTACAAAGCAAGTAAGTAACAATTAAAAACCAAATATTTTTATGTATTCTTAATCTTATTGTTTATGATTTTATATGATAAAAACAATAAAATATACTAAAATAAACAAATTTTAACTAAATCAATTTTTTTATTTAAATGAACAAAATTCCTTTTAATTAAATATATTGTGTATTAAATAAATAAAACCCCTTATCAGAGCAAGTAGTGGACTACCCCGCTGTGGAGGGAGGATGTGATCACGCTGTTCTTATCGTAGGGTACAACTCTGATCATTGGCTTGTAAGTTTTTATCTTCTTATCTTGATCAAGTTCATAATATGTAGTACATATTATGTACTATGTAGTATTATTTCAAAAGAGGAGAATAAATACAAGAGGTATAAAGGAATAGCTTGCACTAGCATACTTTACCAGTTATATTATAACCGATGAACTCTAATGTGCAGTGCTAAAGCTCTAGCTAAAGACGCTGGGTTAAAACTGTCCGCATTTAAAAGCACACGTGGCTATTGGTTATTGGCTCTAATCATTGATGTTAACTCCATCTCCAAGCAATAAGTAATAATACAAAGATACAAGTAGTCGGGAGTATGGGAGAATAGTCTCCTGCTTCACAGCATACTGTAAGCTAAAACAGTGGCGTAACGTTGCCTGTTTTCGAAATTGTCCCACATTCAAACGACGATTTGGCGCCCCCCTAACACTCCATTTCCAAAGCTACTTGTCTATGTTACTGAAGAAAGTTGGGACAAACTCTAAAGAGAAACTGCGAACCCTGATGAGGGACAGGGATATATGGGGGGGGGGGGGGGGTGGGGGTAATCTGGCGTAGATCGGATTTGTAGTTCCGACATAGCAGTAACTCCGTATAAGGAAATATAGAACCACGATCACGAGATCCCCATATAAGGTAGTAGTAGTAACTCCATGTCCACATACTAGGTGAGAAACAGTCACGGCAAGGATTGGGGAGAGTACGGGTACTTCAGAATCAAAAGAGGAATTAACTCGTGTGGAATTGAGCAGAACATGGCCGTAAGTTATTGTTTTTTTTTTAATTAGTTAATTAGTTAATTATTTATAAATTAGTTAATTCACTATGTGTCATTTCACAAATACAATCCGTCAATTGCTGACATTAATTAAGATGCATTAATATATGATTAATATATTAATTATATAATTAATATAATGATTGATTTAAGTTTTGTTTGTATAAAAACCATACCTATTTCATCATGATTATTGACTACGATTCCTCATCCCTCAGGTTGTAGTTGTATCCACAAGGTCCGGCAGTAAAGGTGTCGCTGCTAACGGATGTCCTAATGATAAACCTAACTTCTGTGCGTCTACCAGCACGTGTACCTCTGGATCTGCTTGTGCAAAAGCCATCTCTGTAAGTTTCATTTCAGATTTTAGTTTTCTTACTCGGCCGTGGACCAAATAATGATATTATCATTATATTCGTTCGATGAAATACTGCTGATAGAATATAAATCAACTAAGCGATCAGAAAATGTTATTAAATACGCAGTATCAACAGCTGCTCACTGCTAGCTGTGCAGCCAGACAGATATAGTTATAGTATTTGTTAGCTCTGATATCTTCAAACAGCTACTGGAACTCGAAGAAAGAGATGACGAAATCGTTGATGCCGATGCCGATTTCGATTTCTTAGATGAAACCGAAGAAATTGTTGATGAAGAGGAAGAGATTGTTGAAGAAGAAGTCGTGGAAGAAGTTGTTGAAGAAGTCCTCGCTGATGAAGAAATAATTGCAGTGGAAGAAAGGCAGGCGAGAATCCCCGGTAAAGTGCAGAAACGTGAAGTAAGAGTACCTGGAGAAAGGGTGAAGAGAGATGAAGAAGAAAAGCGAGTGAGAGGAAGTGAGTATTATTTTTGAAAATATGTTTTTTTGTGGTTTCATTTTTTAATCGAATTTTACCACAGTTACTGTTTTGAATGGTTATTTATTTAAAGTTTTATTAAGCTAGTGAAGCTCCATTATAAAGAGGAAACAGACGCACTATCATAAGAATTATATCTGTATCCGATTAACCAACCTTAAAATATCATCACTGTATTCCACCATTAAAGTAATGTATTATTTATTAAAAACTTTTCTAATGTTACAGAGTACAGCAATAAATGAATATAAAATAGAATCGTTCAATATATTTCCCCATCTGTAAAATAACTAAATAAGATGGGCACCCAAACACGGTAAATACATAGTGAACTATGTACGCAATTACTTGGACCCAATGTATCCACCACTAATTATTCTAATGATGGTGTCATTAAAGGTGGCAAGTCCAACATTGGTAAGCGTGAAGAAGAAGAAAAAAGGAAGAACCGGAACCTAAACGAAGATGGTAAAAGCTGGGTACCTGGAAGGCTCGCAAGAATGCTTCTCAAGGTATTATTTAATTATTCGTACAATATACACAAATAAATTCAGCAATGGTAATTGTTTAACTATAAGGTAAACTTCTGTCTATAAATTAATAAATAAAAACGGTATACATTTTTTAAAAGGTATCATGTTGCCATTTTTAATATACTGATGAATAAATACGTTTTCAGAAAATACCGGAAACATTTGAAAAGTATATTGTTGTCTTTATTATTTCCTTATATTTCCTAACGTTCAACATTTACCGTGCTGAATGTTTACTAACCAGAAATTTTATTGTTTAATTGTTATTAATCGTTTAATTGCTAATTGTTTTCAGAGAGGATTGATGTCGGAGGAGGACTTAATTGATTACTTTGAAAATGACGATGTTGTTGAAGTTGAAGAGAGATGTGCTGATAAAAGTCCTCAGTAAGCTACAATTATCAATTCAAATTTATTCATGAAAAGTTGAACCATTTAAATTATAAAATTCTAAAATCTGTTCCAAATGTATAATCGTCTCGACCACACCATAAGTTTAGTAATGAATTATTTAACTAATGAGTTAATTAACTAATTAATTAATTAAGTAATTAATTAATTAACCGCTGTAATCCCAGATGCAAAGTGATGAAAGCTAGAGGTATGGATGTGTGTTCGGGCAGAATGCTTCCACATTGCTTGTCTACCTGTGGAAAATGCGGGTAAGTAGACACTGAATTTATGTACTTATAGGTATTTTTGAATAACTTATGAAAATATCATTAACCCATTAGGGACGACGAGTTTTAAAGTTTGCCGATTTTGATGCCGTTTAACACACTAGGTCACTTTACAGCAAAAATGAGATATCCAAAAAAGCTAATCTGTATCTCGTTTACTTTAAAAGATACAGCTATGGTCGCATACGACCCACTCGTCCGGGTCGCAAACGACCCATCACGGTTTTTCGACTTTAACTTCTGAAACAAAGACGTTAGGATAAAATAAAATAAAAAGCATAAGTTAAAAACATATGGTCAATACTGTGTAACTCTAACCTTTTAAAAATAAAGAATTTGGGTCATTAACGACCCACTCGGCTCACTTGCTTATTACTACATATGTCCATGTAACTTCTTGAATTCAGCCTAAAGCATGACATCATAAGTTCAAAATCGCCTCTCAGCAAGTGATAATCATCATAAACTGCGAAAAATCGGTTAAATGGGTCATTAGCGACCCACTAAGACCACAAAATTGATTAATTAAATATAATGTTGTCAAACTTTTACAAATATTAGTATAAAAACATGTTATATCTTGGTCATTACTCCTGTACGTTGATTTAAATTTTAAAATCGATCAACTGGGTCAATAACGACCCACTCAGAAGTTGAACGACGACATTAATTATCAGTATCATGTTGTTCTACCATCAAGAAAGACACTCGTAGGTCTTAATTCCACGCAAACCACGGGTGGCTGACTACTAGCCCTTCTGAGATCTGGAGTCTCGCGGTAATCTGCAGATCACGTCACCCAATGACTGACGAATAATGGGCAGAATTGGATTGATAGGTAGGTGAGTTTATCAGCTGTTAGTACACGACCGTAATGTCGTGAGACAGCAAACAACATGCCTATCTTTTCCCGGTTCCTAGAACGTCCAAGAAGAACTATACAACTGCTGGATTCAGATTTCAGATGGCTGCATCTACTCTCTTCGCAGCTCCCTTTCTTTACTTCTTAGGGGCCGTTCATATATTACGTAATCACTTATTGGACAATTTTTACGCCCCCCCCCCCCCACCACATAGCTATTATGTCAAAATTACACAAGCTTAATCATTTGGAAACTCCCCTCCCTCTCGGCCGATTACGTAATACTTGTTTTCGTTTTGAAAGCTGCCTCGTTGTTGCGGGGTTTGTTACCCAAAACGAGGTAGTTGTCTGAGAGATTGCAGGTTGCAGCACCGCCAGCCAAATGGGGGGGGGGGGGGGGGGGGGCTTTTTCCTTGTCCTTCTTCACAGAGCTGTAGATGTAGCCATCTGAATGCAGCAGTTGTTTAGTTATTCTCGTACTTTCTAGGAATGAAAAAAACATATTGGCATGTTGGATTAGAATATGTAATTTGACCACTCGTCTTTCAGTATTTACCCAAGGTTACATGATATCTCGTATACTTCGTTCAAGGGATTTTTCTTGAGTGACATGATCTGATCACCGTGGGACCCTGGGTCTCAAGCGGTGGGTTGTAGCAGGTCGTTTACCAAGATTCGAAATTGACGAAAAAGGTAACAGAATAGGCTATCCATTATCGGTATGAAATCTTTTATCTAGATAAACAGATAAAGATTTAGGTTTTATCTAGATAAAACCGATAAAACCGATAATTTTTCTGCTGAAGGCCAAAGCCAAAATGTTTTCCAAATTTCGCAAAAACTAATTGTCGACTTTTATTACTGTTTACCAGTAATCTTGCTAAAGTACCATTTCCTTTCTTTTGAAAATATTAGAGCATCAGTTTTCTTCTCCGGGGAGCAGAAGTGCACCAGTTTTCTTCAAAACAGTAGACCAACGGTTTTCTTCTCCTAAGAACAGTAACGCAATAGTTCTCTTCAAAACAGTAGACCACTGGTTTCCTTCTCCTGCGAACAGTTACGCACTAGTTCTCTTCAAAACAGTAGACCACTGGTTTCCTTCTCCTGAGAACAGTAACGCACTAGTTCTCTTCAAAACAGTAGACCACCGGTTTTCTTCTCCTGAGAACAGTAACGCAATAGTTCTCTTCAAAACAGTAGACCAAGGGTTTCCTTCTCCTGAGAACAGTAGTGCACCAAATACCAATTCTCCTCGAAACAGTAAAGCATTTAAAGTGATTCAGTGAACCGTTTTCTTATCCTGTCGATAACTTGGAGCAACAGATTCCTTCTCCTGAAGACAATGTTTCACGCCCAGAACACTTACGGAATTCAATTGAGTGCCCTGCCGGTATTTTTGACTCTTGTTAACAGTAACATGCTCGTTCCTGTCTCCAGAATGGTTGTAAGGTAAAACGCCAGCACCCTCAAGAGAACAATGTCAATAACCTTCTCTGGATTTCTACAGTTCATACAGTTCTACAGTTCCATAGGTATACAAATGTAAATAAACCTCTTAAGCTCACATCTAAGTAAACTACCTCTTCTATCATACTAGAAGACGTTTGGGACTGTTTCTTGGATTACTTGGGAAGGCAAAAACACTAATATTTCTTTACAATTTTACGGTATTGTGGCAGTATTTTCGGTAATATCTAGTGAATTTTTATACCGATAAAAATATGTTTTATCTAGATAAACAGATAACTTTTTTTAACGAATTATCGGAGATAATTATCGGTTACGATTATCGGAGTGGATAGCCTATAACAGAATCTAATAAGCAACAACAACAGCATGGCTATTACCTAGCAAGTTAGGAACGAGGGCCGATTCCTTTTCTTTTGCGGCACGGCCACGGTCCTTTCGGTACAGATTTCCACGCACCATAGTATTATAGTCAGGACGCAACTCCAGGCATATGCAGTAGTGTTATTCTCGCAGCTCTTTGATGAGTGATGACGGCCCTTCAGTTGGCCCTGGATCTCAGAAGGGCTAGTAGTCAGCCACCCGTGGTTTGCGTGGAATTAAGACCTACGAGTGTCTTTCTTGATGGTGGAACAGCATGATGCTGATAATAATTGATGAGGTGGTTCAACTTCCGAGTGGGTCGTTATTGACCCAGTTGATCGATTTTAAAAGTTAAATCAACGTACAGGAGTAATGACCAAGATATAACATGTTTTTATACTAATATTTGTAAAAGTTTGACAACATTATATTTAATTAATCAATTTTGTGGTCCTAGTGGGTCGCTAATGACCCATTTAACCGATTTTTCGCAGTTTATGATGATTATCACTTGCTGAGAGGCGATTTTGAACTTATGATGTCATGCTTAAGGCTGAATTCAAGAAGTTACATGGACATATGTAGTAATAAGCAAGTGAGCCGAGTGGGTCGTTAATGACCCAAATTCTTTATTTTTAAAAGGTTAGAGTTACACAGTATTGACCATATGTTATTAACTTATGCTACAGTTTTTATTTTATCCTAACGTCTTTGTTTCAGAAGTTAAAGCCGAAAAACCGTGATGGGTCGTTTGCGACCCGGACGAGTGGGTCGTATGCGACCGCAGTTAGTAAACAGCGTCTAGCTCTGTTTGTGAACATCTGATTATCACGGGCTTTTCATATGTCTCAAGGAAATCGTTGCCCGCAACTATTTTGTCCTCAACAAAATAAGCCTACATAAAGTTTTAATGTCCCAATCAAGGCAAGAAGTAAAGTGAAATATTTTCCAATTATGACGACTAATTAGCCTAATTATTTAGTTGTTAGTAATTAATTGGGTCTCGACTGGAAAGTCAATAATGTAGCCCAATAAATTTTGAGCATATGTGCGAAAGATTCGTTGCGTTTAGTATTATGGTTTGTCCTCTATAGCCTCTAGAAAAGGTGGGTCGTAAACGACCCTATCGTCCCTAATGGGTTAAGTAAAGTAATAAGAAAATCTGAATTTGAAACAACAGTTGCTAAATATTGACCGCTTGATATTTAAAAAAGACTGTTGTTACAATTTGCTGTTACAGACTGTTGTTACAGGTTGCTGTGACATACTGATAACTGCTGTTACAGACGTATTCAAGCGCTTCCACAAATAACGAGATACAGCTGAATACTGAATATGCTATGTACTTAAATTCATTTTCAATTCAGATCCGCACCTGCTCCTGCTCCGAAAGATAATGGGGAGATTCAAGGAAAATGTATAACACCATCCATTCCTAATGGTGAGATATTTAACACATTTAACACATTTAACACATTTAACACATTTAACACATTTAACACATTTAACACGTTTAACACATTTAACACATTTAACACATTTAACACATTTAACACATTTAACACATTTAACACATTTAACACATTTAACACATTTAACACATTTAACACATTTAACACATTTAACACATTTAACACATTTAACACATTTAACACATTTAACACATTTAACACATTTAATATATTTAACATATATTCTTGATCTTGTTTCTTATTTCTTACAATTGTAAATAAAGCTTATAAGCTGATAACTAAACCAAAAAAAACGAAGTGAAACAACTCAGCTCCAAAATTATTTCATATTAATGTCTCCTTTACAATTGATTATTGAAGTAATCATTATAAAACTAACAATATGTAATTTTCAGGACAGGTTAGCAACGGTAAATATATGAATCCTGGCGATAAACTGAATGTAAGTAAATTTCCCCAAATAGAATATTTTCTTAATACTCTCTAAATATTTCCTTAACATGTTCTAAAAAGAATCCCTTAAACTAAAACTAAATGCGCACTGATCAACACACTACATAAGCTACCGTCGGTTTGACTGATCCTAATTAATTATTACAGGTGAGGTGTAGACCTGGCTTCGTTCTGGCTGGTGGAATCTCCAAGTGCTTAATCCAGGATGTCTTTACCAATGATGACAAGGATGGCCGATTACATCCTGAGTGTATTAAGGTAATTTACTCAAATTAATTGTAACTTAAGTTAGAAATTGAATTTGTTAATCATTAACTATTCCAATGCCATTATCACGATTATGGCTTTATGGGACACCAAAAAATCATAGAAATAAAACAATGAAATCTGGAATTACTCTGCTGTTTAATGTTATCAACTAGTATGAAAGGTCTGTAAATAAAAATAGAATAAAAATAAAGAATAAATAGAAACTAATGCCTCACCAGATTGTGGGTGGAGCACTGTCAGGAAATGGTGCGACATATGCTGGAGATAAGAACACATACTCTATGATGGGAAGAGCGATGGAGTGTGATAGCTGGAACAAGGATGTTTTAAGAGGTGATTTGGAGGTTATTTGGAGGTTAATTGGAGATTATTTGGAGGTTATTTGGAGGTTATTTGGAGGTTATTTGGAGGTCATTTTGAGGTTATTTAGAGGTTATTTAGAGGTTAATTGGAGGTTATTTTGAGGTTATGTTGAGGTTATTTAGAGGTTATTTGGAGGTTATTTGGAGGTTATTTGGAGGTTATTTGGAGGTTATTTTGAGGTTATTTTGAGGTTATTTGGAGGTTAATTGGAGGTTAATTTGAGGTTATTTTGAGGTTATTTGGAGGTTATTTGGAGGTTAATTTGAGGTTATTTTGAGGTTATTTGGAGGTTAATTTGAGGTTAATTGGAGGTTATTTGGATAAAGATTTGTTTGCTCACGTCCAGGGCACGAAAAAATACCACATTCACCATTTAGTAACTATATTAAATTATCTAAAAATATTTCAGGTATTCTAGTGGACTACAAAGAAGGTAACGAGTTGCTATTGGGTAACCATAACTACTGCAGAAATCCCGGTGGCATTGAGGTATACACAGACACTCTTAAAACTACGAGTATTTAATGCAAGATTAAAATTATATACGTATTATTACTATTTGTTTTCGGATTTAAACTCAATTCTACTTTTGGATCCTGATTGAACGATTCTATTAACTTTATGAATGTGACGTAGAAATTGAAAACTCCCTGTTTATACTTAAACAGTTAGGCAAGTTTCCATAAATGAAATTTTATTATCAGCGCTGATAATCGCTTATTGGGCGCTTTTTCGGCGCTTTAAAAAAAAACAGTCGTTTATAATCGATTTTTTTAACGATTATAAGTGGTTCAAAAAAAATCGCTTATAATAAAATTTCATTTATGGAAACTTGCCAACAGTTAAACCTGCTTTAGTCCGTTATAATTTAACTAGTAAAACCCGCCACTTCAAATTAAAACCTGTTTCAGCCCGTTCCATTTTGTCTGGGTAGTGCGACTGGTCTGGGTACAATAAACTACTGCTTTGGTCACCCTGGTTGCGACACTTGCGCAGGAGCTACTGATAAATACGGCCCTGAGTTCTGTCAACAAGCGAGGTGATTAGTAATTAATTATTTGATTAGTTACTAATTGATTTATCTATTAGTTTGATTATTGAATATTGCGTTTTGAAGTGCATTTCTTGCTTCCACCAACATTTGTAGTGAATGCTGGTGACGAAACTGACTTTTTATCTATTTATTTATTCATTTAATATTTATTTATTTATATATTTTCAGTAACACAAGGTATTGTTTGTACACAAACAAACAGTCAGCAAACAGAGTTGCTTCCATACAAGAAAGTTGTCCCGCAACTTGTTGCGCTTTGGCTGGCTGTTAGACGCGTGACGTTATCACACAGACACGTGACGTCATCACACAGTCACGTGACGTCATCACAACGCTGTTAAAGTCTTAACAGCTTTCGAGATATTTGATATTTTGATATTTACCAGCCAGCATTTACATTGTTGGCTGAACGGAACTGGACTGATTATTTGGTAAATGGAAATTTTTTCGAGTCAATTTCATTTTAAGATTGTATATTTACGCTTGTTGAATGATTATGATTATGAGAAATAATTACGCATTGAAAAGTTTAAAGCAATTTGTTTCATTTCTTTATCAACAGTTATATTCACCCAATAACGAAAATCAGTGCTTTAAAGTTCAATAAAATTGATCATCAATATAAAAACGCTGAATAAATTGCAATGATAGTACTGCTACTAACTTACTAACTAACCTGCAGAAACCTTGAAGAAATTAAATCATTATTAAAATTAAAGCCGGCATAATGACACATACTTTAAGTGACTTAAGTGTTTGAATTATTGTTTACTAACTCTTCTTCGCCCGAGAGTTTAGAGCGAAGTCTAAGACCCCTCAACTTAAATCACTTTTCATTAGTTTTACATTCAAAGTGACAAACAATTATTAGTCTACCAACTTAGTTTAAGTCAATGATAAACAAAGCAAGACTTTATTCAAGGTACCCCCTTTACGACAAGTCCCCTCTTGAATAAAACAGTTAATTACCACGTGACAGTACCTGGTACAAAAGACTCGAGATGGAGTATGCACGTTGGAAGGTTTAAATTAATATGTTGATAAAATTAGGAACTCTTAATTAATGCTCACATATTATATAAGTAGTTTAGCCACTGAAGACGACACTGTTTGTCGTTATAGTTGCTCCACGCGGCACCCATGTCGTGTTAAAGTTCTTTATACTAGCAGGAACCCGTATAATATAACCCTAAAGTGGTGTCAAGACTCAAGAGACTAAAATGATTATTACCTATTTAATTCGCGTTTTTGACACCACTCGGGGTCCAAATTTAGGGCTCTAAAACTCTTATTTCTTGGCCAATTTTTATTTTTTCATGCTGATTTGAAGGCCATTAAAGCATTTGTTACATACATACATGTTACATGGTAAGGTCTCCTCCTAGTCGTTGGAGTGGCCTGCATCACACACATCGCGTTGGCGGCGTAACATATGTCTCCACTGTACTCGGTTGGTAGCCAAAGCTTCTGTTGTGTCGTTGTCGATGTTTTCAACACCTGTAAACTTAGCAGCATCTTCGAGTACGCAGGACTTCCAGTTCTTACGGGGTCTGCCCCTTGACCTCTTTCCATAATTTGGCTTCCAGTTCAACAGAAACCTCGGTAGTCTAGAGTCTGGCATTCTAACTACATGTCCATACCAACGTAGCCTGGCAGCACTGATGAAAGTCTCAACTGACTTGATGCCAGCCCTCCTAAGAACTTCGTCGTTGGTCACATGAAAGAACCATTTAATCCTAAGGATCCTTCTCAAGGAGGTTTGATGGAAAACCTCGAAACGTTTCATCTGCTTTTTGGTGGTGTTCCAGACTTCAGCTCCATACAACAAGATGGTGAGGACAGCAGCCCTATAGATCCTGATCTTGGTTGGAGTCTTTATAGTTCTGCTATTCCAAATGTTCCAGAGCTGATGAAAGGCGCCATTAGCCTTCTGGATACGGACATCCAGGTCTCTGTTGATTGTCCCATCGCCACTGATAGTTGCACCCAGGTAGACAAAGTTGCTAACCTGCTCGACGGGTTCACCCTCAACCAACAGCTCAATACAATCATCCTTGATGAAAGGTCGCTGAGAGGCGCACTTGCTTACAGCCATGCATTGGGTCTTCTTTGCATTTATTCTGAGCCCAGCGTAGGAGCTGTAATGAACTAATAGATCAGTTGATTCCTGTAGGCCTTCCCCTGAGTTGTCCATAATAGCCATGTCATCAGCATAATCGGTGTCCAGAATGACCTTTTCCTCGACCGTCTTCATCTCTTTCTGCAGCACTGCGCCTTGACTGATGATCTTGTTGGTCTCAGCCAGAAATGCAGAAAAGTTTAGGCAGAAATTAAAGACAGGAGGTGCTTGAATGTCACCCTGACCTGTGCCTGAGTTAACATCAAACCAGTCTGTCAGCTCCCCATTAACCCTCACGGCACTTATGGTACCCCCAAAAAATGACTGAAATATTCTGACATATTTTTCAGGCAGCCCATAGTGTCTCATACTGCACCAAATAAAGTCCCTTCTGATAGAATCGAACGCTGCCTTGAAATCCTCAAAATTAATGTAAAGAGGAATGTTAAACTCAAGACAGTTATGAATAATAGTTCGGAGAGAATAAATCTGATCAATACATGAGCGGTTCTGTCTAAATCCGCACTGATTCTCCCTGAGGAGACACTCCATACCAGCATGTAACCGCTTAAGAAGAATCATCTGAAAAAGCTTGGATGCTGTAGACCTTAAGGTGATCCCTCTGTTGTTCCCGCAGACTGAAGTGTCTCCTTTCTTCCCAATAACAATGATCACACCCTTTAACCAATCTTCAGCATTTGACCCAGTCAAAAAAGTTTCAGTTGTATATCTTTTACGGTTTTTTGCGGAAAGTCGTGTTAAAGTTGATGCCGTGGTGTCAGTAAAATGGCACGGATAAATAAATATATATATATATTTTGTAGCTGTACTCCTACACATTAAAAGTCGGTGTTGATTAGATCTTTGAAATAAGTCTTTGCATCATTTTATTAAACATCGTTATCTGAGATAAAATTGTTCTAAAAGCAACTGGAATATTCACAAATCTTTAAAATAACTTACAAACTAGGAAAGGAAAACAAGTCTTAGGAAGACGTACAAAACTATGTGACTTAAAACGGTACAAAACTAAAATATACTGAGTAATAATCAAACGAAAAGAATGGCTGCGTACATTTTATCTAATCTATTAAAGATTAGTTTCTCGGAAAAAGCTAGATTTCTCTGAATCAAGCAGTAAAAATATATAAATAGTAATGAATATAACACGTCTCTGATAGCAATATTTTAAACTAAACACGGGTTAATAGGCTGAGATCATGTCAAATAAAATAAATAAACTAAACACTAAGCTCCAGCGGATTTAAAAAGGATGTGGTTACTATCGAGGGTGTTCATACCCCCATAACGCTCAAGGGTTTTTCAATTGGGTCTGGTAGAACCCCTCTCTAGCTTCCATGGCCTTTTCCCTATCTGCTTGACTTATTTCAGGTTTAAATTCAAGAGCGTCCACTATAATAACAGAAAGGTGCGTACTAAGTGAAGAGTTATATAAGGCTACTGAACTAAAATCTAAATCAAGATCAATATCTAAAAAGTGATTTACTAACTTACAACTTCTGATACCTTTCTTAATGTGGCTCTAATGATTAGAAAATCTCTTAGGGAGATTAGAAGTAGTATATCCTACATACGACTGTTTACAAGTTCTACACTCCATTAAATAAATAAGGTTATTACTCTGACAAGTTACATATTTAGTAATAGGGAAAACTTGTTTAGAATGGTGACTACTAAATTTGGAACAAGGGGACAGGAAACTTTGCTTAGAAACATAGCATTTTCCACAGGCATGGCACCCTGCGTTGTCAGCCTCCCGAACAGCCGGCAATATTGCAGCGTCTGGTTCAAGAAATTGACTAGCAGTGGCTTCTCCATCTCTATCACTGCTTACAGTTCCACTAGCACGATACTTATTGTGTACAAGCATGCCACCGATAGTTTGATTCTTTCGGTGACTTACAATTAATACACTGTCAGCACGTACTAGCTTCTTCAAGGCTGGATCGAGATTAAGAAGGTGCTTATACTTGTGAATAATGCTCCCCATGTTGGGAAGTGCTGGATTCTGATCCATCACCATGGGTATTAGACAAGTAGTCGTCTCATCCTTATTTTTAGGGGCATACAAGTTTTTCCTATTGGTTATATCACTAAATTTGTTGAAAGCATCGTCTACAATACTAGAATATATATAATATATATATCGTCTCGCTTTATATATAGTAAGATGTTGACCGTTTTAGATCGTTATAACCGTGTTCGTTTGACTAAACGATCTGATAAACCGACCTTAGTTGTGAACTTAAAGTTATAAGCCTATAAGAACATGCTTATCAAATTTTATTTTCATCCCACAATGAAAATTAATGGTTCAATAATTTATTAACCTTCCAAAAAGTTGCAATTTTTCAGTGTGACTTGGGAGAAAAAATATATTTTTCGTCTAATATGTTTTGTTTGGGGACCGGTTTTTGATACACCAGCCAATATTTACAAAATCATATGATACATAACAATATAATTTTATTTAAATATAAATGAAAATGAATGCTGAAAATTATGATGTAACCTTTATCGTTTATTCTTTAAACCAAAAACTTTAAAATTAAAACTTGCATACCATGATTTATTTATTAAAAACATAGTGAAAAATGATTTAATTTGATACGACAGATGATCACACGCACTGTTTTATAAGCTACTTGTGTTGGTAATTAACGATAAGTGAGCAGGGCAGAGTTGATTGTTGTGTGAGCAGTGTAAATGGAAATAGTGGTAAGGTGAAAATATTATCAGTAGTAATGTTACTTTAGGGGGTGGCAGATAAGAACTGGGCCCATTTATGTCTCTGATTGTTTCTGATTGTTTATTCGTGACAGCTTTCTTAATGACGTGATAGCGTAATGTGCAGACAGATTAGGTTTGAGTTATAGAATAATTTGTGACACAATCAAAACTGCACATGTGCCGTATCATAAGCTAGAGCTGACTCGTACATTGCTCTAAATCTAACCAGAGCCCTCCCGCTTGCAGTAGCGCGCGACCGCAGTACGCGTATACACATGGCTATGTGAAACCCGTACACATAAACAAGCTATCTGGTACATCATACGATTGAAGGTGTTGACTTCGCCGTTAAGCAAGCCACGGCGTGTATGTACAATCGAGCTCACGATGAAAGTCGAGTGTGAGTATTTGGAGCAGTAGTACTTACGATTTGGGAGTACTTAAGATTGAACGAGTGCTTGGCCAGAAATTTGAGGACTGCTACTATCTTTATGCGTGCTTAAGTTGTTGATTACCATCGCTAGAAGAACATATAATCCAAAAAATTAAGGGTTTAGGCATATAGTTGATGTTAATCGTACTCTAGTGCGACAAGTACTCTAGTGCGAAGTCCGACAAAAACACCCTCTTTCGCACTAGTCACTACAGTACGTGTCGCACTACGATCCAGGTAGCGTACTTTAGTGCGACAGTGTCGATCTTGAAGGTTTCGCACTAGGGTACGTGTCGCAATAGGGTACGTGTCGCACTACAGTACGGGAACCAAGTTGATCAAAAAGTTGACCATAATCATGGCGATATTGCGGTTCATTTAAGGTGTTAGACAGCCCTCTAAGTAATATGGTTCTCAAAATATACAAATATAGGCTTTTAACCCTGATAGATAGTGATATCCATGAAAACATGCAAAGCCATGACCGCATGACCCTCAAATGTTGAATAGTTATGTAATGTGTATTTTGATACATCTTAAGTATGAGCAAATTACAGGCTGCAGCGAGTTGCTTATAACCTTGGGGTACCCAGGTAACGAGTTGCTTTTACATACGCAAGTCATTACTTTAGATATCGATTAGCACCCTCGATTTTGAGGCTAGAAATAGTTGTAAACCACAATTTCAGGACGATCGTTACAGAATTAGTCACAAAATCAGGTATTACGGAACTTTTATTTTCAATGATTATAAATTGTGTGACAGCAGCAACAGTTTTCGTCTTTATCGACCTCTTTATGATGTACAGCAAGTACTCATTTAAAATGGGCCAAATATTTTTACATGACGATGGACGCTCTAATTTGACCAGTTCATTATTTCCGATAATAATCCTGGTTTAAAAGTGAAGCGTTAATGCCTACTGGTGTTGAGGTATTAGACTCATATCCGATCGATTTGGTCATTAATAGCAAAGTCATAGTAAGACAAAGAAACACACACGATTCCAGTTCCAATAGGTTACCAATACAACTATCAGCAGTACCAGTAATACAATATTGAATGAGTCTCTCAGCAGTTGTGCAATCATTAATTGTGCTATTTTGAACCTAAACTCAGGCCGTGCAAGTGTTATGTCATCTATACAGTAATCTTGATTCTTGCAGTATTTCGTTTTTATTTAGTTGGGCCTTTAAGCGACACAAATTCGATCGAGGTTTATCACATTATGGACCTTCAGACTTCAATATGTAATATTTATGTCATTATGGATGCCCTTAATTCATCGCACCACCATCACGCATCATCGCACTTGTACTGACATGGTCAAGTTTTTCCCGGTGCCAAGCACCGAACAAATTTATTCCACTTTGAAGTTGACATATAATTCAAGGAAGCATAAATACAAATAACAATTCATAAAGAATAAATGCATGCATAACGATGACTTGAAGTAAGTACATTCTAGATCTGATTTTAACACGATTTTAAATGATTTTAATTTTTAAAGTGTCAATTCTCAGTAATAGTAGCCCAAGAACTCTAGAAGTGGATGAACACCGTTATATTCAGAAACTAAGAACTATACGTCCATTGGGGCTCAATGCCATGGACCCGTTTGGGATTCCATTATTGGATTTATCTTAAAGGTTTTCTATTGTATTGGGGCACAAGAGTTATGTTTTTTTATATTCATATCGTCTTTAGTTGTGTCATTTCATTTCCAATGTCACACTTTGTAGGAACTGATATTAGCCGAGTTTCTGATTCAGGATGTTACCGAAGATATAAGTAATTTTGGTCGTTATGGATCGAGTGGATCTGGGATCGCGATTCTTATTTTAAATTTTCCGATCCTAAAAACTTATAGTATTACTTTTATACCTGACATTTTCTTTAAAGTTGATAACGTTTTAATAAATTAATCATTTAGTCTGAGTTCTGATATTTGTTTAAACTTCATTTGCAATTCATGATTTAATTAGAGCTCAAACTTTATGTGCTTTTTGCCGACTACTTAACTGAATTCCTCGCCAAAATACCTTAATTTCACACAAAAAAGCACATATAGTTTGAGCTCTAAAGGTTTCACACATAGCCCAGACAAGTTAAACGTAACTATAAAGATTTGGCAATATTTCTACCATTAGTTGTAATGGCATTACAACTCTACATTTTACAAGCTCTCAGATCAAGAACCATTGCACATCGGTTGCAACATAGACAGTTGACGTAATCTAAGTTTTCTCTTTTGACTCAAATTTACAAACTCTGTCATGTTGATGTTCACACAATAGTTTCCCTCACCGAACAAGTATTCCCATTTCCACTCAACTACATGTTGCTGAGTCCGTCGTCATAACCATTGTGACGTTTGTGTGCCCCTTGTTATTGTGAATGTAGAATGTAGATCAGTGGACCACAGAGCGGTGTAAATTCCGATCACGATCACAAACTTTGCCTGGTTATTGTAACATGTTGTAATAACCATTTGTTTTAGTTTCGATGATGTAATTGTTGCGTAAACTTTAGACTATTTAAGATGTTTGAGGTAACTGTTCGATATTCAGTCAGCTTCAACATTTTTATAGTATTGCACTTTTTCATTTTTCACTTTAACATGACTCAATTAGTATTTAAATTTTATCAATTAAAACATATTTAATTGTTTTCATTCGGTGCTAAATAGCCAGTAAAATGAAGCTGTTCAATTTGGTTGTTTTGGCGCTGCTGGTGTCTATCTTCATAGAGCCAACACTTGCTGGGAGAGGCAAAAAGAATAAAGCGAAGGACGATGACGCTTTTATGACAGGCAGAGTGGAAAGGTCTATAGAGAAGGTAAATCCTATCAAAAACATTAATGATAATAATATCCTACAGCGACATTGGAAATTATCTGCGGGGTTTTTTAATCATTTTGGGTACGTTTGAAAATCGCAATAGTGACTGGACCAATATTTAAAAAGAGCATGAACACCCCTTAACTGTTAACTATCAAAGAGAGACGAAACTAACGACGTCGTTGCCGTACAGAACAGAGCAGCTCGTTTTGCAGTAGAGACCTCTGAAGGTGAAAATAAAATTAGTTGATCATAAATTTTTTTGATCAATCGTCTTCTTTATATAATTATACAGAAACAGCATTTCAAATTAAATGCTTCAAATTTGTTAGTAAAATCATTTTCAATTTTTAGAAATGACATTGACACGTATTTTATATAAACTAATTAAAACGTATTTCAATTTACCGGGCGCATTGTCATTTGTTAACCGCCTAATTGCATGTATAAACAAAAAAGTAGCTTATTTTTAGAATTGATTGAACACTGATATATTATAATACGTGACTACTAACAAAAAATTTTTTATCGTATTTATCAAACATTTTGCTTTCAGATTTGATCAGACGAAGTTAAAGAATAAAATAACCCAATAAATGATTATTAGTAAAGACTAAAGTTTGAGACCACCATCGTGATTTTGAAGATTTCAGATTTGGAATTAAAAAGTTGCAAACATTTTTAGTTTGATTAAGATTTGATTTAGCTTTTGTTCTTTGCTTATAATTGCAAGCAAAATAACTGAAATTCATAATAACAGAATATGATATTGAAAATACCCCAGTAATTCTTTCCTCCAACGTTTTTGTTTTTCTCTGTCAGCCCTAAAATAGATTATAGCATTTGTTCGAAAAAAACTTCATCGATCCGGGTGTTTTGGTATTTATTTATTTTTTAATAAAAAAGGGCAATCTCAAATCTGCAATCACCAAATATAAGTGATGAATATAAAATGAAATTGATATAATGCTTTTGGACACGAATCGAAGGAAAACAACGTGTTAACTACAAACTAATAACTTCAAGTTAAGTAAAATCAAGTATCTGATAGTTGCTTTATCTCTGAATTAAAATTAATTAATTATATAAATAATGAATAAAGTTAATCTTTGTAGCGCGATGCGTTTCTGTGCCGCGCCGCGCACTTAATAAGGCTTCTCACACTTAATAAGGCTTCTCGCACTTAATAAGGCTTCTCACTGGCTAGATCGGCGAGATGCGCTACTGTGCCGCGCCGAGCTGCCATGAATTGACATCGTCAATTAAAATTAATCTCTGAATTAAATGAAATTGAATTGTTTTGTACTTTTTATTATTGTTGACGATCAAATTTATCACCGTGTGTCGTCCACATTAAAATTAGCACGGCTAAAAGTTGGCGTGATACTGTAAATCAACACATAAAATCAAAATGACTATTGTGTATTCTTCAGAGCAGCGCCAATTCTAATAGCCGCGTCAATTTCTATGTACGTAAAGGAGCCACGGTTCGTTAGTCATTTGTTCATTGTTAATTGACGATGTCAATTCATGGCAGCTCGGCGCGGCACAGTAGCGCATTTCGCCGATCTAGCTGTGAGAAGCCTCATTGAGTGCGCGGCGCGGCACAGTAACGCATCGCGCTACAAGTTCATTGTTAATGGATTGACCCAGCAAGTGCTACTTTGTAGCATTTGCCTCGGACCATACACTCCGAGAAAAAGGCTAAAATACCTAAAAAGTTATAATATTTGATATTAGTCAAATATTATATATTTGATTCGATTACTGCCCACATGAGGACTAAAGTGGCATAGTGCAAAGAAACTGCTGCTAACTGCTGCTCACTGCTACTCACTGCTATGGGCGCGCTCGCGAGTTAGCAGCAGTTTCTTTGCACTGAAGTCCTCTTGACCATTGTTAATGGCCTGGCGCGCGCTACTTCGTAGCACTTGCCGTGAAGAAAGCGGCGCGCGCTACTTCGAAATTTAGACGAGTAACATCCGTCAATAGTCCTCCTGTGTGCCTGGGGATTGTTGCGATCATTGTATCACTAGTGTCTAGTATATAATAGGGGTGTTGCTCTATCCAGAGCCCTTGCACTTGCAGTAGCGCGCGCGCCCGCCTCACGGCGTTGTTGTTTCTTTACTTGTGAAAAAATTGCGCGCCCGCATTGGCGCGAAAGCACATTTTTTATTAAATACTTTTCAAATTTTACAGAGTACAGCAATAAATGAATATAAAATAGAATTGTTCAAAATATCGCCCCAATCTGTAAAATATGATGGGCACACAAACACGGTAAACACATAGTGAAATATGTCTGCAGTAACTTGGACCCATTAAATGATAAAAATGGTGCATGATAAAAATAAACTTGCTCTGAATTTCAAAATTTTTGTACCATTGTTTTTTTTAGAGACTGTGAGAATTTTCAGAGTACCAAATTTGTTATATCTTTTTGAACGATCAGTGAGTTTTGCCTAGGTGCCATATTTGATGGTGCGCGGCTTTTGGAGCAAAATTAAGTGTGAAAGTCGAGTAATTTGATAAAATTCGTTGATTTTTGTCGTATTATTTTAGTAAAACAAAGTATTTTAGTGAAACGAAGTATTTTATTTATTATTAGCAGTGCAATCAATTCATATGATATAATTATAAGAATATAATAGTATGTCACACGGCCTCTTTAACTGTTACGTTTGAGTAGTCGTGCCATGACTAAATCTTATTAGGACCAGTGGTGTCGATTAACATTTAATAGGTGAGTCTAGGTGACACAAATGGAAAATTTTAAGAAAATACGGATCAAAACACAGATCCAAGGACAAGGAGACCCCACTGCAGGACCATACCGGCTATTGGCTTGTGCATGGCCCAAAAGGTTCCAGTTGTCCAGGAAACTGTACGTAGCTGGTCAACTAGTTTTGAATTCAGACTAGGCTTGATGAGTTCTGGGGTTTCTAGAGGTAAGATTTGATGGTGCCAGGTTTGTTCAGGCGGACATGAAAATTATGCGATGAGTATATAGGTATATAAAAATCATATCAATATAAAAATAGATCCAAAAATAGATCCAAAGATTCACACGGCAGTCAGGGAACTTCCAGACAGGATGCTTTTGAAACAGGTATAATGAGCGCTTCTGTAATTAATTGTATGCAAGGGATGGGATGCTGATCAACTAAGCTGGTTCAATGCCCCAGCTATTTAGGGGGAGCCACTCAATTTCACGCCCAGTTGTTGTCAATTGCTGGGTTTCAAGTAAAAGCTTTTTGATACGGCTCTTGATAATTGAGATGGGGGAGGAAAGGTCGGAAAATTTACTAGAGCCAGGGACCATGACATTGTTTTCATAAGGAGTGCATCTGTCGAATATTTTATCAACCAAACTGTTCCATATAGTCGTACCTTTGAAGACAAAATTGAAGACAAAATGTCAAGTTTGTGTCGGGGGACCTGCATAGTTTGGCTACATGTTCTGGAACTTGTTTGTAATAAACTTGTCAGAGAGATGGGTTGATGCAGTTTCAAGATTTTAAACAGTTCAGTGGATTATATATTATGTTGGGTGTACAGGTCGTGGATTGGCATGATTTTCTCGGTATTGAATATTGGCTTAGTGTTTTCCAAAGCAAAGCTCCTTTTTGCGATGTGTTCACTGTATTTTTTTTATTGAAATCTTTCAAATCAAATCAAATCAAAATATAATGACAGAAACATCATCACACATCATCAAAAATATATCTACTAAAGTTTTAAAAATATCTTAAATCTATTGGCCTAAACAACCAAGATAAAATGAATCTAATTTACATACTTTCCACTACTATATAAGTTAATAAAGCGTTTCTTAGCAACATGAGGATTACACACAAGATATTCATTGTGCTTCTCTTTATTAGTAGCATAATTTAATCCCTCAATCTTTCCTAATACTTCGTCCGAAACATACCAAAAATGAATATCATTTACGGATCCGTTTAAAATAGTCTCTTTTTTGAAAGCTTCTAATCTTATTTTAAAACTTAACACAGTCCCACAATTCTTGACATCCGAGGGGAGTTTGTTCCAATAAGGTCTCACCCTCTCCGGAAGAAAAGAACTGTGGACTTTCTTCATTTTACTGCTACTTTTACTGCATCTACTGTTTGATACCACATTAAAACCAGATCTGCTCATACTGAACAAACCAGCTCCGTAATTGGCCAAACCACTTATCATTTTAAAAGATTCAATGAGGTCCCCACGTATTCGCCGCTCTGCCAGCGTTGTTAAATTGAGGATTTCCAGTCGACGACTGTATGGAAGAGTACCCACCTCGTCAATCAGACGGGTAAACCGCCTCTGGACGCTCTCCAGCTCCAAGATGATCCCCCAACTTCCATGAGCCGCAACTGGACTCCACAATTGAACACAATACTCTAAATGGGGTCTTATTAAAGCTTTGTAAATGGATATCATCACAGATTTTTCCCAGATAATCAGATTTCTAACAATCCAGCATATCATTCTGTTGGCTTTAGATATTGAAGCCTTAATCTGTTCATTCCAAAGCAGAGAGTTATGGGTTATAACTCCCAAGTCTTTTTCCTGTACAGATTCTGCCAAAGTAACTCCATTAAGAGAATAACTTGATCTTGGGTTATCGTTAACATCTAAATGCATTACTGAACACTTAGTAGGATTAAACTTTAAAAGCCATTTACTCTCCCACATCTCTAGTTCGTTCAGATCATTAGCTATAGTTTCATGCTCGGAGGCATTAGCTATAAGCTTAAGATCATCAGCAAATATTTTAACTTTACTTTTAATGTTATCTGGTAAATCATTAATAAATAACACAAATAGTAATGGTCCAAGGACTGATCCCTGGGGAACTCCTGACCATACAATCTTCCACTCTGAAGTTTCACCTTCTACACACACTCTCATAGTTCTATTTGAGATAAAATCTGTAATTACATCTAAAACTTTACCAGTTATCCCTAGACTCTCTAGCTTTCAAATCAATCAATTACATACAAATTTACACAATGAATGAACAACATTAAATCTTTTCAAAAGTATAAGACTCCGATAAAATCAGATTTTATAGGACAAAATGTATGTAATCAAAGGACCTGAGGGTCACCAAAACGAAGATGTTGAGAGCAAAATGCACCTCCTGCACATAAATGGGCCCACGGAAATCTTGAATTTTAATTACAATTTCAAATAGAATCACACAAAAATATCAAAAGCAATCAAATCATATAATAAAGTGAAATCCATGATGTGATGATATGCACTAAATTGAGAAATGAGAAATACAGACAACAGGGATTTAAGCTCTTATGAACATATTGTTAGCTTTTAAGCTTTATGTAGACTGCCTCACATCTCTGTCTCGAGGGAATAATCTAGATCATAATCAAAGTCCTCCGGCAGAATTTTATCCCACATGTAGGAGGTCAATTTGCTTTTGAACTCAGAAATAGTCTCTATCTCACGTATAGCTAGAGGAATATGATTCCATTTAGAATGGGTCCTAAAGTAAAAGTTCTTAGCAAAAGCGTTAGAGCTTGCTCGTGGTAAGATTGAGCTTACAAAATATAAGGGGTCCATGTGGCTATTTCTTAACCTTGAGTGGCCTTGAAATGGTTGCAAATATGAGGGTAAAGTGAAAGGTATATGTTGCTTCACAATTTTAAAGAAGAAAATAAGGTCAAGAAAGTCAAAGCGGTCTTCTATGGGCATAATCTTCAGCTGTCTGCATTTATGAATGTATGTGGAATGTGGATGGTGAATAACTCATATAATACTCCTCGTGAAGAATCCACTTAATAGCACGCTTTTGGAGGCCCTCCAGCTTACTTATCTGGGATTTTGTGACCGGTCTCCATATAACTGAGCAATGCTCAAATTGACTTCTCATTAAAGTATGGTCTTGCACGTGCACATGTTTCATAGTACTCTGCCCGGTCGAAGCTTGGTTTGCTTCCAAATAGAAGTCATTAATGTAGAGTAAGAAGAGGAGAGGGTCTAGAACTGATCCCTGTGGTACCCCATATTCAATTTTGCAGTTATCAGAGTGTGTATTTTGGAAATCAACATACTGCTGTCGGTTACACAAATAGCTTTCAATTAGGTCAAGACAGGGCCCTCTCATGCCATAGTGTTCAAGTTTGACAAGTAATTTTCTGTGGTCGATTGTGTCAAATGCTTTGCTCAAGTCAATAAATATGCCAATTACATGATTCTTACTTTCTAGGTTTTTAAGAATGTGGTCAATGGAGTAATTGATGGCATGTGCCGTTGAGTGGTTGGATCTGAATCCAAACTGTTTATCGTATATGACCATATGATAAGTAAAGAAGCTATATAGTCGGCAGTAAATTACTTTGTCTGCATATCTTCGATTCCTTGAATGAGATCATTCTGAAAATTTGTGAAAAGTTTCCAATAGGGCTTTTACAACTGTTTGAAAAATTTGGTGGATATCAGGGTTGATCGATATAGCTATAGTGATATGAAAATGGGGCAAAATACGCTGCTTTTAGCTGTATTATATGTAAAATAATCAATAATGTTTGATGGTTGGATATGCTCTAAATTTTTCGGACAGTTTCCTTGCATTGTAAGTCTATAAGTAAGCTAATAAATTTTTTTTTGAAATTGGATCAAGGGAAGGTTACTCAATACGCATTTGTTTCACGAATAAAAACACACTTCTTTAGTGCGTGCTGTTCGCTATTGCTCACACCAAACGGCAACCTAGTAAATGTTTTGTATGGACACCGGTCTCCATCACGATACAAAATAAGGATTGTAGAATTTATTGTATAACTTTTAGTAAAGTGGAGGTGTGGTGCATTAATAGATTGATGTGATAGCTGGCCACACACATCTCAACGAATTTCCACTAATCTAGTGTTTTCCACTTGTCTTGTCCTGTGAGTAAAGTATGTGTGAGAAAGTTTAAATAAAGTGAATGTATATTTTTGAATTTTCAAGTTTTAATTTGAGAATGAAATATAAAGAAATTTTTAATAAGCACTTATAGTTTAAGATATTTAAAGCTTATTATAGTTTAAGATATTTATAGCTTATTATAACCATTAATACAAATAAAGGCCATAATCTTTAGCCAGCTCTCCAATATCCATCTTGAAGTTGCATTTTATATCCTCGAACTACACAATATAAACTTAAGCATATTATAGTGTAGACTTTCTGTCACAACAGGACTGCAACCCATAGTCATAACTATAAACAGAACCCCTAATGTCTGCTAACAATTTTCTTATGGTCCTAATATGAGCCTTGTCTCTAAAAACTCAACTTAACTATCAGGCATGCACATTCCTTGCCCCGTTAGTTACCTGTCCTAACAGTCAAGGACAAAAAGTCATACACCAAATTGGCATTGTATTTTTTCCATCGACTTTTTTTTTTTAAAAATCATAAGATGGTTAGAAGTGGTAGGATTTGAGGATGGGTAGGGTAGGTAGGAAGGTTTTACGTACGGTGTCACGTGTCACAAAGGAAAACATGCATTACCCTCTGCATAATCATTTTAATGCATCCTCTCCGCGCGAGGAGCAGTAATGGTGAAGTTGCCACGGTTACCCTCCGCATGCGTTTGCACGATAATATGTCAAAAAGAATCCAGCTTTAAAACAATCACATCATTATACCAATATGCTGTGAGATCACTTATATGTTTATATCAGACTATAATCAGACTATATTTAATACTGATCAGAGTCATAATAATCATATCTCTTATCAGTTGCCAGATAGTAACCATGAGTTTGGGCAAAGAAGGAGATGTAACACTAGATGAAGAGGAAATATCACCTTTCAAGGAGGTCTGGCATCAAGTTGCAGGTCACAAGGATCATGGAGACGCACCAGGTAGGAACTGTTTTTCTGGTTTTGGAGATACGCCAGGTTGTACTGGCCTGGTACGGAAGGTCGACATAGATATTCGTTACTTTTGTGTCCACCAAAAAAGGCCAAGGGGTACACAACATTCGACTTATTGAGGTAAAATCATCATGACAACTCTGGCAAGGGAATCTTGTTTCAAACTAGGGTCGATTTCTAAATTGAGCTTAATTCACCATTTGGCAATTAAAACATGTGCTCCTTCATAAATATGACCAAGGTGTAACCAAACCCCTAATTTTGGGGTCTACTAGCCTGTGGACATGAAATATGCTCTTTTTTGAGTTATATGAAAATCGGTTGTTGAGAAGCGAAGTTATGGCTAAATGAAAATTCTTCGTTTTACACTGTTCGTTTTGTCGCAACCTGACTTGAAGAATATGTTATATATATGTCCACATACTGTAGGAACTTTTTGGTCACCTAAGTAGGTATCATTTCGGTCACAAGAAGGTTCTTTTTTAAAGTCACAAGATTCACAAACATGCACCAGGCTAGATAGACACTATTGTTCTGTTTTTGTACATATGCCAGGTAGGTACTTAAGGTTTAATCAAACATAGAGCCTGCAACATAACAATGTCTAAGCCTTTAAAATAACTTAGTGCCTTTGTGTTTCTTTCGCTAAATTGTAATTACACTTACCTAAACTTAAACAACAGCTGTAATACTTTTGAAATGCAAGCTATTTACTGAGGTTCAATAAGAGTTGCGTTTAACATGCATAAGGATGCCTGGTAAATTATAAAAGCAGTTCAATATTTAATATGCAATAAATATAAGTACCGATACTAAGTAAAAATAGCAAAAATAGTTCAGTAACTAATGATAGATCTTGTCATTAAACAATCACTGTGATTGTTTGGGCTCTAGGTCAAGGTTTAAAAACAATACACAATTTCTCCAAGACAAACTGCTATAAAATGGGAAAATGATACAGTAAAGTAGTCTACATTGCCATAACTTTCTGCATTTTTAGTTTTTAATCTAATGTGATCACATAAGTCAAGGTGTAGGGCAGGTTTTGATAACCCGTAATCGGTAGGTTGGAGGTTCAAATTCCACTAACTATTGATACTAGGGGCGAGCTTAGTGCTTCGTCAGGTTTGTATAATTTCTTGTGGTTGACTTAGCCGAATGATCGGGAAATCCGTGTTTGAGTGTTAAATGTGAAGGAACCCTTCCAAAAGATCTTGGAATACATCTGAGTGTTCTGTTAACAATAGAAATGTATTATATGTGGATCTGGTGAGAATGTATAATTTTTACACGTGACAGCTGCAATAGACCAATCAGCATTCACTGTTGACCAATTAAACTACAGGATCACTGTCACGTGTCAAAAGATATGCTTCAACACCAGAATCCACATCTATACATACTATAAAAGTTCGAGAATCAGGACAAATTATACCTCTATCTATAGGAAATTATTTATTGCCCGAACTACATTTTCTAAAATTCGAAAATGGAATGCGTCAGTTAAAAAGGTCATTTAAGTTAAATGCACATTTAATATTACCGTACATATTTTTACATAATATTAAATACTGAAAAAGTAAAATGTTATGGTCATTGTCTAATAGTTATGTGATTTACCATTCATCAATGACCTGCACATTATACTATTCAAGTTATGCGCGCGATCTGTTAGCCGTGTGAATTAGGTATATCGTTAAAATCAGGTAACTTACCCAAATTTTATGCATTTTTAAGATCCAGATTTTAATAATTGTTAAGTTCAGTTTACTGAGTTCCCTTCAATTTCTGCGTACTATCCATAAGTAGTTTCAACGATTTAGTGTACAAAGCTAATGATAGACGTTTATGGAGAAGCTATGGGTGAGTCGAGACTACTCGGCCACTCGATTTTATGATTTATTTTCTATTATCTTGTGTTTGCTGTATATAGTTGATTAATAATAATATCCATAAGCCAATGCATTTAGAACTGTAGGTTAATTACTCGCTGTTTTATTCGTCCTTGGTTTACAAGTTAATAAGTTACTATTAGAGAATAGAGACGTAAATTTGTTCCAAACGACCGGCTTCTTTGGAAAATTTCAGCTTTACATTATAAGAAATCCACCTTATTGGATCAAATAAGAAATTATCAGGATGCATTTAGCAAATCATTATCAGATTACAATTTTCCGCATATTTTTCACCGTATAGACTCACTGTAATATAATTAATTGTAGTGTAAAGATCAATTTTTACGTGTAACTAGCCACTAGGATGTTAATGTTTTCTCTGCCAACTTAAATCACACGATTTTCTCAAACTTTTGATTTTGATTTTATCTACAAAATACATTCTTTGTTACCACAATAATTCTACGTAGACTTCAAAGTTGGTAGCAACTAAGAACTAGCCAGTATTTAGTATGGTCACTAGGAAATGCAACCACATAAGAGCCTCCTGTTGGCCGTATTCACGGCTCTGTCTTCACAAAACAATGTGATCATTGCAGCCCTGAGAGCGGAAGTCGTTATTCTGTTATTGTTTAAACTTTAACGGACAGAGATACAGACTCCTATGAAATGGTGTACCTATTGTTGGGTTGAACTCTGTGTTGCACTCATCTGATTTGCCTCAATGTTCATTCACAAAATTAGACAAAAGAGACATAACTAAAATAAGAATTAAATGATTAACAGCTCACGATTTTATTTAGTCAAAATCCTGGTTTTGTGTTCGTCAGCCGCGGACGACATACGATATTTTTGCAAGAACCCCCGCGCGTTTAAGTACTTTCCGCGCGCGCGCTTTCCGCTATACCCAATTTTGAAACGTGGACGTTAAATTGCATTTGGCTGGCGTAAATGTTCCTCAAGAAATTCATTATCTTGTTTCAGGATTTCTAATGGGAGCTAATGGAAGACTCTACAAGAACATTTCTCACGACTCCAGAGGGGATAAAGAGGAGAAGTTCTACAAAATGGTGTTCAGCGAAGGAAATTTTTCAAGATTTAGGGATTTCATTCCAACGTACGTAGTTCCGTGAATCAAGGCTTGAATTAAACAGTCATGATCATTCTAATTTCCTTGGATATATTTTTACAGGAGGCATTTAAATTAATTATGCTTAGATCCACCGCTCTTTCCGAATTAAAATTCGTCTATTCAGTGCAGACACAGTTTCCGTTTAACTGACATACTGAAATTTCCTGTAAATCAACGTGACTTCATTAACCCGTCTTATTTCAGATACTACAAAACGATAATTTATCAGAACATAAGGTACATGGCGCTATCTGATGCATGTTACGGATTTAAGGTAAGTCTCGAGTTTTGTTTTGAGAATGTAGAAACATTCCGAACATATTGTCATGACTGGTCGTGATAGAGATGATCGGCAAAAAATTTTGAATAACGTTTTTTATTATTTTTATCACTTTCATGATGAAAGATCATTCACGTCCAAACAGTTTAAAACTAAGGTATGCAATATAATACTGCATTCTCTACATTCTCTAAATTACTGCATTCTCCAGTATTAACTGTGCTAATTAACACATTTCTTCAGGTGCCCTGTGGTTCTGACATAAAAGTGGGCTCAGTAGACTACAATACACAGGACAGTCACAACAAACAGGAAACTCACAAAACAAAGGTTTGAATTATACTAAAGTAAAGTAAAGTAAAAATTATGACATAACATCATTACACATGTCTACAAAGTATCAAAACACAATATGGAAAAATATAAATATCTTACCACCAAAATTAATAAATTATTAACTACAACTTTATTAAAAAATTTCAAATAAACTCAAAAACTTGGGATATTTATATTGTGTCCTTTGTTTTTTGGAAACGTATTTAGAAATTTTGATGCTTTGTTACAGTGTCAATGCCAATCTGTTTAAGGTCTGATACATCAGCTTTTTCATGTTCTTTTGTCATGAAAATTTGATAATGTAAAATTTATTTGAATTTTGAAATAAAAACAAAAAATGACATATTTCAGTTTCTGGGTATTGCTCCAAATTTAGGGTTCCGTTTCGTTGGAGCTAATGTTTATAACGCTGTCGACAAATCTGTTGAGAAATTGGACAAGGTAATGCTATAACTGATAATGGTATTTTAGCCTTTTATTATATCTTGACTTTTGGAGGATTTTCGTATTATTTATCTGTTGTGCAGGCTAGTCTTTGAAATCTTGGCGTTGAAAAAATTTTACGATTTTTAACGATTAAGGGGGGAGGGCCAATGGGTTTTTTTGTGTGAAACTTGATTTCGAGATAGCAGTTGACCAACAAACTAGGACCAGTGACCGAACTTTTGAGGGGGTCCCGGACCCCAACCGCCAAACGGTGCCCGCGGGGCCGCCACGCCCATATTTGGTCCAAATTAGGCCCAATTTAGCCAAATACCCTGAACATGCCCAAAACTCAGGTTTATGTTGCTCTTCTTGAAGCTTGTGGTCTCCTGAACTCGTATATGAAACTTCATCAAGATTGGACAAAAATGACTGAATTATGAGCCAAAAACCATATGCCCATATTTGGGCATACGCACCAAATTTGGTAGATTTCGTCCCATAAATTGGTCAAATATCAATATTTTGAATGAAACCTACTTTATATGAAAGATAAGCCTAAACTACATATTCTCTGTAAGTTTTAGCTTTATATCTGTTTAAATGTGGATACTAAGGCGAAAATACCACAAAAAATGAACTAAATCGCCAGTATCTTGGTTCGCGATATTCGTGGAATTGATCTCATTAAAATTGTAACAACTCAATCAGTTTTCAAAATTTGCTCAGCAAAATTCAGAATTTCGCCGCCAAATTTTTTTTGAGGCCTAAATCAAAAATCCGTTCTAAAAATAAGGTGGAAATGCGATTTCGATGCGATTCGAGTCGATTCCCCCCCCCCCCCCCCCCCCCCCCCCCCCCCCCCCCTTAAGCCCCTCAATATATTATATGCTCCTATTGTTTACTTTTCAGGACTGGGGCCTGTCCTTCACGATAGAGAACGCAGCAGTAAAAACAGAGGAGTATTTTCATGATAAGAAGAGTGTGCGACGTGATGTTCTACCTTCACTAATCAGGTAAATTAATTAACTAAATAATCAGGGTTTTTTTGCGATAGTCAAAACGCGACAACTAGCGCTGGATGGCGACAACTAGCGCTATCCAGCGCTAGTTGTCGCTATCCAGCGCAAAATATAAATGTTCGATAATTGTCGCTATCCAGCGCTAGTTGTCGCTATCAAATTCTCGCTAAACTTGTACTAGACAACATTGAAAAACTAACTAATATTAAATTTTGTTACTTTTGCAGGCAGATGACAGGTTTGCTGGAATACTACACTACACAAAAGTTATTCTGGTTATGTAGATCTTCTCTTTTAGTAGTGTACGATGGTTTAACCCCGGAGAAAGGCACGGTGAAGATGATCGACTTCGCTCACCACACCACTCAGGTAACCAGCAGGGACAAAAGGATTTCGTGATTATTTTGGCCAAAAATCGCGATACCGCGAAATTTAACAGGCTATACATTAAACTATACATAAAATTTGTCGCAAATAATGGGAAAATCGCGATTCCGTACATGCCGCGATTTTTTTTGTCACTGGTAACCAGTGAAGAAACTGGGTTGGAGGTCGTTCACATGGTCGAAATCAGCCGAGGGGGGGTTCCAAATGCTTACAGCCATGATTACGTAATATTGCTGTCGGGAGGAGGGTTGGGTCTTGATTACGGTTGATTACGGAGAGGGGGGTTAGGGGGGGGGGGGGGGGGGTAAAAATTGCTAAAATGTTATTATAAGTCGTACATTTTTCTAAATATTTTATAATATTATCTTAATTACACATTTAAACATTATCTTAATTACACATAACATTATCTCAATTATACATAACATTATCTTAATTACACATTTAAACATTATCTTAAGTATACATAATATTATCTTAATTATACATAACATTATCTTAATTATACATAATATTATCTTAATTACACATTTAAACATTATCTTAAGTATACATAATATTATCTTAATTATACATAATATTGTCTTGATTACACATAACATTATCTTAATTATACATAATATTATCTTAATTATACATAACATTATCTTAATTATACATAATATTATCTTGATTACACATAACATTATCTTAATTATACATAATATTATCTTGATTACACATAACATTATCTTAATTATACATAATATTATCTTGATTACACATAACATTATCTTAATTATACATAATATTATCTTAATTATACATAATATTATCTTAATTATACATAATATTATCTTAATTACACATAACATTATCTTAATTATACATAATATTATCTTAATTAAACATAATATTATCTTAATTACACATAACATTATCTTAATTATACATAATATTATCTTAATTATACATAATATTATCTTAATTATACATAATATTATCTTAATTATACATAATATTATCTTAATTATACATAATATTATCTTAATTATACATAATATTATCTTAATTATACATAATATTATCTTAATTATACATAATATTATCTTAATTATACATAATATTATCTTAATTATACATAATATTATCTTAATTATACATAATATTATCTTAATTATACATAACATTATCTTAATTATACATAATATTATCTTAATTATACATAATATTATCTTAATTATACATAATATTATCTTAATTATACATAATATTATCTTAATTATACATAATATTATCTTAATTATACATAACATTATCTTAATTATACATAATATTATCTTAATTATACATAATATTATCTTAATTATACATAATATTATCTTAATTATACATAACATTATCTTAATTATACATAACATTATCTTAATTATACATAATATTATCTTAATTATACATAATATTATCTTAATTATACATAATATTATCTTAATTATACATAATATTATCTTAATTATACATATCTAACCTAACATTGTTCAGGAGAACTCAGAAGACAACACTCATGTAGATATAGGGCTAAAGAACCTTATTGATATCCTATCTCACATACACAGTGACCGGACAAACGAGTGGAAACACGACTAGTAGTAGTGGAATGTGAAGAATTCTGTGGAAGTGAATTGTGGTGAAATATTAGAATATTTACCTGGGACCTCAGGCTTTTCTGTTCATAAACAGAAGATTGACAGGCTGAGTGCCGCCCAGTAATAAAATATTAGACTAGAATTTTGTGTGATTTAGTCTGAATTTTAAGGATTCCGGCTATATTAATTTTTGGAAGATTGTCAATTAGTTAATCATCACAGGGTTTTAATTTTATCGTATTAGTTAATTTTAGTTTACGTAGTTGCTCTAAAGAGTTTGAAGATTGATTATGTATATACAATGGATGTATTGTGTTCATTTATAAAGTTAATAATTTTCTGCCTATAGTTAATCATTACTTGATATACGTTTCTTAAATTATTCATATCAAAGACTTTTACCGTTGAGTTATTTTGGGGCAATATCTTAAACTAAATCAAACTATCAAATTTAGACCGAGTTGTTAAATATTGGATTTTTGTAAGCTAACAATATCATATTGTGATCGTGCAAAAATGCGCATATTTTATGTTTTTTATTGTTTTCTGTCTGTTTATCATGAATAAATGGTAATGGTATAGTACTGTCACGACTACATCGTTCATTTCACAGGGTGACTAAAATAAACAAGTCCAAAAATTTATTTCCTCCAATTTTATTCTCTTTGTCAACATTTCCCAAAATATAAGCTTAATAACGACGCTGAATGTTCACAGAGCCTGTTGTTTTAGTCACCATATATACAGTTATATCATGCTTATAAGATCTTTTTAAGATACATTATACAACTTGTTTAACTTGTTCAACATGATGTTCAAATTATACCTTATAAAGTTATAATCTTCTGCGGTGAATAATTTAGAAGGAATGAAAGCGCAAACATATTATAGTATGTTTATTACCGTGTTCTTATTGTTATTTTACTCAATTCTAAGATCATGAGCTTACAATCTTACATCGCCCCATGGAAACAATAAGTTACACTTACTGAGTAACACTAGTGTAAAAATAGCCAAAACGCCCCCTTGGCAGAAATATTTTCTAGTTACCAGACGGTAGGCTGACTCATGAGTAGCATGTTCCTATTGTTATTTTATTCAATTCTAAGATCATAAGCTTATACCGACCGCCATCGGACCTATACAGAAACAATAAGTTACACTAACACCGTCTTGTTTTAAAGTTTAACTCGTAAATTGTCCTTGATTAAAGCAAACGTACTTGACTCTAGCCGCCCCTACCTCTTCAAACTGTACGCAGTTGTTGCTAGTATGCGTCATAAATATATACCCAGAAAAACTTTAAATAATTATTTATATTCTATGCTATTGTTCTATGAAAGCTGTAAGTGTCTCTTTGATCATCACTACAAATACAATCAAAATGTTACATTAAACAACTATAGTTACACTCTGACTCAGATCATAGTAATTATTATTAACGTTAAACAAAAACAACGTACGCGTATTATAATATAAGCTAATCTAACTGCGTATAATGCGATTAGATAAACTAATCGCACTGTTTTGAGAGCACTGAGCAACTAAAAAAACAGCGCACTTCAACCCTCCACTTCAACCCAAAACCTTCTCCGAGAAACGAAGTGACGTCATCCACCGACTCTCTCTCGGTTGATTTATACAATCTAATAACTCTGATAACCACCTCAACAAAGGGTAAAATACAGATAAGAAAAGTAAACATAGGATAACCGTCCGATGCTAATTGATCCTGATATGTGATTGGTCGGATCTGAGTCATGTAATGTAAAATCCGGATTGGAGTATTATTATTATTTTTTTATTTTTATTAATGTACACAAATTTTGCCTCAGATATATGTTTTTTACGTTTTGTATTTTTAACACTTGTTTTTAGATCATGAATACGATGTAGTTACATTGAAACGTCGAGTAAACTCCTTTCCCTAATACGAGCATTTTTACTTGTCGCAACAACCGGGATAACGATAATTTTACACGGAATACATGAGTCATGTAACATAACTCATCGATTGCTATTGGCCGCTAGGATGGGATGGACCAAGCCCGTCCCTATTATCTGCAGTTGTGATGATTGTTTGAACGTTTTGCTTGCCTGCTATGGATTTTCAGACCACCCAAGTATAATAATATTAATATTGATTGACGATGTCAACCCTTCCAGATCGTTGCTCTGCGAATTAACAGAGCAACGATGCGAAGTAAGCATGATAGTTTGCGTGGCGCGTCGAAGCGGCGAAGTCCTCCAACATCATATTGAGCATCCCAATCCACCCTTCTACAAATCTTTCGTCTACATTTCAGCGTGATCGTATGCCGTACAACCCGACAACTTTCCATGATGAATTGTATATTTCAAAAGGGTTAGAAATATACCTCACAGAACCCGCTTCAAACATTAATTTTAAACACACCTTTCTTTTTCTTGTTCTTCTCTCAGTTTACCTCATTAGAAGCATCGGGAAGCGTATTCTAGAAGCACAATGAAGTTTTTTCTGTTACTTTGCCTAGTTGGCACCTCGCTGGCTATTGACAAAGCCCAATTGCATGGATTAAAAAATCTGTTAACGAACCTGCACTCTGGGGTATTCACTACGTGTCAGCTGGTCTTGTTCAGTGAAATGGTCGACTATGATACTGCTGAGAAGAACTGTCAGGTCTGTCCAATATTTTACTGTCCAATATTTCTCAATTTTAAATGATTTGTGAAGAGTGTTAAGTAATTGTAAGTTGTAACTTTACAAAAGGAATTTCAATCAGTTGAAATTTAATTTCAAATTTTGATCTCACCTCAACCCGCAGAATTTCAACATTGGTATGGGAGACGTACAGGGCCACCTGGCCACAGTAAACGACAGTGAAAAGAACTCCGACCTAAAACTCCTTCTGAACATGGCTTATCCTTACAAAGGGTGGAAAAACCAATGGGCTGCTGACCAATGGGTTTGGGCTGGACTCAGGAAGACAAAGAACAACGATGGAAGCGATACGAGCATGAAATACAAGCCAGAGGACTGGTCCTGGGCTGCTGATGAAACAAGCCCCAAGGAATTCCACAAATGGATGAGGAAACAGCCGGATCAAAAACCCGAGATCAGGAGAAACGGAGTGACGTTACTCCAGAACCAAATGAGGATCAACCACAAAGGACACTGGGACGATACCTTCAAGTACAAGAAACATCCCTACGCTTGTGATTACCAAGGTAAATACATTATCTCCGCGAACTCTAAGACTTGGAGCCAGAGTAAAGCTGAGTGCGAGGCTGCAGGATTGGAGCTAGCTAAAGTGAGATCTGATGCTGAGGTTGAAGAGATCATTAAATCTGCTGATTACTTCCTCGGGAGTAAAGCTGACAGTGTGAAAGTGTGGGATAAGGAGAACTGGATCTGGCTGGGTGGAACTGATGAAGAGGAGGAGGGTGTGTGGAAGTGGGTGGATGGAAGTCCTATTGACAAGAAAATTATGAACTGGAGGAACCCTAACCCTGATAACGCTGAGTTTATAAAGGACCATGCTGAACACTATTTGGCTATCTCCAGGGATGGTCAGTTTGATGATTCGTTTGATCATAGGAGTAGACACAGAGCTTTCGCATGTCAGTGTCCAGGTACGTAGGTTGGTGACGTATTGCTGTGTGACACGTGATCTGACACGTGATGTGACACGTGGACTTACAACTTTGATAGCCCTCTGATGAAAGACTCAAAATTCTAGTAGAAAAGTAGAGAAAAAGATTTTTCCCAGTATGTTTGAAGTAGCTGAATTTTTTCGTGGATAGAATTTTGCTGTATGTTGTATAGTCAAAGATATATAAATAACGTTATTTATTATTTGTTTGTTAAAAATAATAATCATTCTTCCGAAAAAAAACCAAATTCAAAATTAATAATAACTATTTAAATAATTTCTACACACTTAAATCGGTATACGACCATAAAAATCGCTTAAATAACGGCTGAAGGTTCTTTCAGTTTCATTTCAGTTATCACTGAGGCTAACTATGGATGGTTCAATGACTGCAATACTGCCACACATAGAAATTCAATATTCTTCAACTGCCCACTACTATTTGTAGACGCATCGATAGATGAAGCTTTCAATTCAGTGTCATGCCAATCGCTGAAGGTGTTCAAATCACAATGCAATAGAACAGTACTACTACTAACTTACTAAAGCTGCAGAAGAGGGTTGATAATGTAAATGAGTGGTCCACGAAATCAGCAGCCTCCGTTACCGTAGGTCCAATAGAAATAAAAATTCGTAATTGTTTTTGCTGCTAATTGGGGCTGAATCCAGCGTCCAGAATTGAGTTTATAATTTGTTTTTCAATTCCTATCACACTATTTTACCAAACCAAATCAATAATCTGCTTTTCATAGCAATTTCAATTAATTTGAAACCAAAACCCATTCTAAATGTTATTTGTGAACAAAACTTTTGCTTGACTTTTATTATATTGCATTTTTTATAAATTTGTGGCGTGCCATTAAAATAACGAATTCAAAATTTATATTTCATTAATTGTAGTTTGTTACGATTTATTTCATTTGACCACACTTTTCTATTTAGTTTTGATATATTTCTACTTTCTAGTAGGTATGTTTTCAGGAGTGCCCATTGGGGTTTTATTTTAAACTGGCTGTGATGTAGATAATAAATTAGAGACAATCCCCTCACGAGGGGCTTTCAGTCAATCAGTCGCTATACTAATAATCTCAAAATGTGTGTGAGTGTGTATCCGTGTAATTTGTGAACGGCTTAATCAAGAAAACGGTTAGAGATATACATAACAATATAGGAAAGAGTGTGGAGATCAATTATTGATGGTGAGCTGATGACGTTTACGATGGCGATTTACCCTGGGGCCAAGTCCCAGCCCAAGGACAAAAGAAAATCGCGATTATTAGGGCCAAAAATCGCGGCGCTGCGACAAGCTAATCTAGGCAAAATCGTGGCAAAAATCTCGAAAATCGCAGCGCGAAAGAAAATGTATTTGCACGGATAGAATTATAAATTAGGGGTAGACTGGTTCGTAGGGTAATGAATTGCTAGTTGGTTTGTACGTGCACGACTTAAAAAGGTGGCTACATGTTGCAAGCGTTATGGCGCGGCTTCCTTTGTATAATTTTTTCACTATCACTATGTTCCTGTAAATATTTCCTTTACCCTCATAAGTTTTTGTCCAAAAACTTACCACACCTTTTGATAAAACGGTCTTTTCCTTACAATTCGGTTCCGGAAGGTGACAAGGGAAAGTACTTCAAATTGAATGCGTGATTAAGAATTGCAAATACAATGTCTCAATGTTCCTCAATAAAATATCCAAATAAGTTCAGAATTGCGATTACTAAACTACTGTACTAAAACCATAAAGGGTAACTTGCCATCCAACTGGCCCACTCTTAAGTATCCCCGAATAGTATAAACAATCTCCCACTTGCTCTAGCAATCTCTAAACAATTCCCCAACTATCTTCCTTGTAACCAAAACAGAGATGTTAAACTGAACTCCTTACACTACCCTGCTGTACTAAATGTCGTACACTAATATATATACCCTAACATACTACGCTAAAATACTGCTCCCCAAAACTCTCTGCTCTAAACAATTCCTAAACTATCCTCATTGTAACCAAAACAGAGGTGTTAAAATGGACCCTCTGATAATCAAATTCAAAACAGAGATGTTAAAATGAACTCTCTGCTCTACCCTGCTGTACTAAAGTACTAAATGTCGTACACTAATATATATACCCTAACATACTACGCTAAAATACTGCTCCCCAAAACTCTCTGCTCTAAAAAATTCCTAAACTATCCTCATTGGGACCAAAACAGAGGTGTTAAAATGAACCCTCTGATAATCAAAACAGAGATGTTAAAATGAACTCTCTGCTCTACCCTACTGTACCAAAGAAGCATAATGAAGTGTTTTCTGTTATTTTGCCTGGTTGGCACCTCGCTGGCTCTTAACAAAGCCCAGTTGCGCGGATTGAAGAAACTGCTGAAGAATCTGGACTCTGGAGTGTTCCCCACGTGTCAACTGGTCTTGTTCAGTGAAATGGTCGACTATGATACTGCTGAGAAGAACTGTCAGGTCTGTCCAATATTTTACTGTCCAATATTTTATCTCAATTTTAAATGAATTGCTGTAGTCGTAGAGTGAAGATAAAGTTAATATAATTATATACAATTGAGGCGATGTTTAAAAATTGGAATTCCTGAACAGTGTAAACAGAAACTTACAAAATGAATTGCTGTCGGAATCGATCAGCTAAAAGTTAATTTCAAAGTTTGATCTCCACCTCAACCTGCAGAATTTTAACATTGGTATGGGAGACGCACAAAAGGGCCACCTGGCGACAGTAAACGATGATGGAAAAAATTCCGACTTAAAACTCCTCCTGAAATTGGCTTACCCTTACAAGGGGAAGTCACAAAAATGGGCTGCTGACCAATGGGTTTGGGCTGGACTCAGGAAGACAAAGAACAACGACGGAAGAAAAAAGAGCAAGAAATACAACCCAAAGGACTGGTCCTGGGCTGCTGACGGATCAAGCCCCCAGGAATTTCACAAATGGATGAAGCGCCAACCAGATCAGAGAGCCAACAAGAAAAACGGAGTGAAGTATCTCCAGAACCAAATGAGGATCAACCACAAAGGACACTGGGACGATACCTTCAAGTACCCATCCCTACGCTTGTGATTACCAAGGTAAGTACATCATCTCCGCGAGTTTCAAGACTTGGAGCCAGAGTAAAGCTGAGTGCGAGGCTGCAGGATTGGAGCTAGCTCAAGTGAGATCTAATGCTGAGGTTCAAGAGATTATTAAATCTGCGGATTACTTCCTCGGGAGTAAAGCTGACAGTGTGAAAGTGTGGGATAAGGAGAACTGGATCTGGCTGGGTGGAACTGATGAAGAGGAGGAGGGTGTGTGGAAGTGGGTGGATGGAAGTCCTATTGAGTACTACAAGAACATGAACTGGAGGAACCCTAACCCTGATAACGCTGAGTATATCAAGAACCAGGCTCAACACTATCTGGCTATCTCCAGGGATGGTCAGTTTGATGATTCGTTTGATCATAGGAGTAGACACAGAGCTTTTGCATGCCAGTGTCCTGGTACTTAGGTTGGTGACGTCACGTGATGTGACACGTGATGTGACACGTGATGTGACACGTGGTGTGACACGTGATGTGACACGTGATGTGACACGTGATGTGACACGTGGTGTCCTACTTACGACTTTGATGGCCCTCTGAAGAAAGACTCAAAATTCTAGAAGAAAGTTTAGACTTAGAGTACTCGATGATATTTTCAAAAAAGACTTTTTCCAGTATGTTTGAACTTTGGAGTAAATGAATTTTTCGTGGATAGAATTTTTTTGTATGTTGTATAGTCAAAGATATATAAAAAACGTTATTTATTATTTGTTTGTTATAAATGAAAATAATATTCATTCTTCCGAGAAGAAGAAACCAAATCAATTATAACTATTTTAATCATTTCTACACACACAAATCAGTATACGACCATAAAAATCGCTTAAATAACGGCTGAAGTCGCTATACTAATCGCTATACTAATAATCCCAAAACATGTGTGGGTGTGCGTCCGTGTAATTTGCGAACGGCTTAATCAAGAAAACGGTTAGAGTAATTGGCTTGATTTCTTCGGTATATTTTCGGCATAACTCTGACGAAGCCCAACAGCTAAAGTTTTAAATCGGTCGGTGGTAAGTGGTTTTATTAATGGTTTTGTACCACAAAAACTTAGGGCGGCTTCAGCGTCTGAACAGAGATATTTTTTCCGAATCTGTCTAGACTCTATACAGTATCCAGCATGAGTTGTTTATCTCCTTGCTGTCGTCAAGCCTCGTGTCCCTCCGAAAGATGTCAATATATGTGAGATGTGAGGTATGGTCTTCCCCTTCGACGATGTCCTTGAAGGGGTTCCCAGAAGAGAAGTTGATGACTCAGAAGTTCTTTATGTCTGGCTAGATGACCTGCGAGTCTCATCCTCCGTTCAGCTATCTTATCAGATGATCTGATGAGGTGTCCATATGGCATATACCTTGGCGTTGTTAGTCTGCCGCTCTGACCAGTCTATGTTAAGTGCCATCCTCAGCATTCTCGTATAACATCCATCAATACGCTTTAAGAGGGTCTGGATGACAGCCCATGTTTCAGAGCCATACAGAAGGATGGACTCAACTGTAGCCAGGAACAGTCTTACCTTGAGATCTCTACGCATATCCGACTTCCATACTAGCTTCATCTCACTATCGCTATGTTCGTAGAAATATTTCCTTTACCCTCATGAGCTTTTGTCCATATTGTGTATGTAAGGTATGTTATAAAGTTATAATATAGATTAATTGTCTTAACAATTGATCAATGTTCTCATTGTTCCAAATCTCACTTAATAAATTTGTCGCGGAGAATGGGAAAAATTGCGATTCCGCACTTACCGCACTTAGCCACTTACTCACTAAGTTGCAGAATGTAACGGCTATTAACAAGATGGTGATGGGATGATTATTTCGAGCATTATCTACGGCCATATATGCGTGCAAGTGTGCAAGGGACAAGGAAATGAAAAGATGAGCGGACGACGACTTGATTTAGAACGACGAACCTCAGAATGACGAGGACTGGAAATTGAAATTGAGAATCAAAAGTTTTTTTTACGGACATTTTTTTGATAATTTTTCCCCGGATGAGATGTCAGAACATTTTGTTTTAGAAACTTTAGAGGTTGCATAAATTAGTAAACTGTTTGAATATCACGTTTAATAAACAGTGACTACTGTTTTTACAATATAAACAATTTCAATTTGTTTAGGCTTAGCTGGTATTATTATGATAATAGTTGACATTGAATTATATTGATTATTAATTTGTCATAATTTTTTGTATAACAGCTCAGCTCACTTTACCATTTAGCGAGAACAACAAATTGATAAAACCATCCAGATTCATATTGGAAATCAACAAACTGAGGGTAATTAAAATCATGGAATGGGCAAATTGGATTTACATGGGTAACACATTGCGGAAACAGTGCCTAAGTGATGCTAAGTACACCATGCACGTTACCGGATAGTTCTAGATGATCCAGTCTATTAGTTCCACATCTTGCCACATGGAATCCTGATTGGGAGGTGTAACTGTTTTGTTTCCTGCAGGGATGGAAACTTGCACTAGTACTGTGCTAAATGTAAAGATAAAAGCATTTTCAGCTCACGTTGTCAACTGGAAAAGTCACGTGATCAAGAACGTATCACGTGATCACCACACCCGTCCATTAGCCCTGCCATTGTCCGTCAATTAACAAATATCTGATTTAGAAAACATGTCCTTAAGGACACCTTGTGGTCCTCTGAGAGGGTATTTAAGGGGTGCCCTCCGTTCCAGACCTTGCAGTGGTCTGAGATGCATCAGTGGTTCGGCGGACAAGTATTCCAGCAACCGCCTTCAGCAAACAACCCTGGTGAGTACTGATCACTATAGAAACCACTATAGCAACCACTATAGCAACCACTACAGCAACCACTATAGCAACCACTATAGCAACTACTATAGCAACCACTATAGCAATTACTATAGCAACCACTACAGCAACCACTATAGCAACTACTGTAGCAACCACTATAGCAACCACTATAGCAACGACTGTAGCAACCACTACAGCAACCACTATAGCAACTACTGTAGCAACTACTATAGCAAACACTACAGCAACCACTATAGCAATTACTGTAGCAACCACTATAGCAACCACTATAGCAACCACATTGTCTCCTGAAATTCAGCTGTAACTGAGAATAATAATGAAGGTTAAAAATTAATTAGTTTGATAATTAATAATTTGAACCCTCTGTTCAGCCTGGATCAGTGTGGTGCTACTGACCATTTTGTCGTGTGGTTCACGGAGTACTCCTCTCAATATCAACACTAGTGTCACTGCTACTCCTCCCTACTGCACCCCCTTACCTAAACCCGTCAGGTAATTAATTTATTAGTTAATTAGTTAATTAGTTAACACTAGTATCACTGCTACTCCTCCCTACTGCACCCCCTTACCTAAACCCGTCAGGTAATTAATTTATTAGTTAATTAGTTAATTAGTTAACACTAGTATCACTGCTACTCCTCCCTACTGCACCCCCTTACCTAAACCCGTCAGGTAATTAATTTATTAGGTAATTAGTTAATTAGTTAATTAGTTAACACTAGTATCACTGCTACTCCTCCCTACTGCACCCCCTTACCTAAACCCGTCAGGTAATTAATTAACTTTTGATTTATAAATCAAAAGTATATAAATCCAAAGGGAAAAAAAATCTTTTACATTTCACTTTCAATCGTTGTTCTTCTGAATTTCTTTCGAGGGTCTTTTAACTCTTCTTTTGAGGGTCTTGTCCGTCTTTTGAAGTTACCCCTGAAGGAAAATTAATGGAATTGATCCCTTCGTACTTAATAGTTTCCCTAATAACCTAATTTCTCTTCAGCTATTCATTGAAACAGTGTTGGGACACACTGAACGATATGATGGTTTCAGTCCTGCAATCAAGCGGAGGTACCGTGATCAAGAATTGTCATGCTGGATTACTCTCCCAGGTAAGTAATGCAGAAAAAAACTAAAAGTTTAACATTTATTTTCCACATAATATTATATTTTACCGGGGTAAGCCCAGGGCTCCAATGCTTAATTTTATAGTGGCCATTTTGAGCAGGAAAAATGTTTTAAACCACAACAACAAAAAACTAATATAAGATTATTTAATTATGACAAATGTTTTGCTTCCAGGATTTGAAGAGTTTAGGACGGACGCTGGTTGAATCGTTCAAACCTATTCGGTGTCTCCAATTCTTCCCCTACACCTCCTTCACTGATCCTTACTTCATTAACCAGATTCAGATCCATATCGTGGATATCGTAAGTTATTTTATGTGGTAGAAATGTTTTTTTTAATTTAATTTTTAAAAGAAACTGGCGATATAGTGTTATCACAGTGGAGCACAGTGCTGTGGCTGATATATCGTCATGATGAATATTCTATAACCAAATCTTAGTGTTGTAATCCCAAACTTATTTTTTTTCATTTATTATTCATTTATTATTAACCAATAATATTCGACTTCAGTTGCAAACCCCAGTAGTGTGTTTAACAAACTACGACCTCGATCTCTCTTGTAGGAACTGGATGAGTCTCAATCCTGAAGCAAAGGTTTGCTTATGATTGATAATTAATGAAAATAAAAATAAAAATATTGATTATTTGTCTGTTTCTTAGATTTGAATGACTGAGATGCAGTTTATATTAGGGATTTGGAAATGAAATCTGACTTTGAATAAAAGCACATCGTCCAGATAATATTGCAACTTAGCGAAATTTACGCATTCAATCTTTCGAATCAATCGCCACTTTAACTTTCAGAATCTAACAAAGCAGCAAGTGAGAGAGATAGCATTAGAGCACATGGTTCAGTTAATGGAGGCAGTGGAGAACATGTTCATGAAATGTGCTCGTACACCTCATGTCACGTGATTAACAACATATCACGTGATTAACAACATGTCATGTGATTAAGGGTTTAGGGGGAGTGTGTATCGTGATGTTGCAAACCCAACTGGTGTTGCCATAGCAACCCCAACTGGTGTAGGTGATGTCATGGTAACCCCTACTGGAGTTGTCATGACAGCACCAGTTGGTATTCATGCTCTGCACAGGCCTCGGAGGGACACCGCTTGATCCAGTATTTCATGAGTCATGGTGAGACCTGATCAGAAATACCAAGGTATTTTGAGGACTCAGACAAAGATTTTCTAAAAGGATTTTTACCGGCTGGTCCGGATTTGTTTTTGCGGTACGATTAAGACCAAAATGATAATATTAGAATGATTTATTGAGTTTTGGTCTTGAAACCGCAGAAAGTCCATAGTTATGATATGGTATGCTTTGATGTCACATAGTTTTGCAGTTCGGCCAACAGTTTTGAACAATCATTTTGTAGCTGTAACTGTTTCTTTTGTCGAGAGCAGATTCTATTGAATAATAAATTGACTTGCAATGATTAGAAAATATTTATCTCGTTTAATTTTGTTTCATATCAAAAGACCAAATAATCACATGATCAATTCAGAATACCAGATATCTGGCTTAAGTATCCGGTTCCGGTCCGGTATAAAAGGTGCTTTTCCGGATATCAACCGGAAAATTAAAAAATTTGATTTAGGGAACTCAGGTAACAGTCGCCGTGTCCTGAAAGCAAGTCTCGAGATCTGATGCCAGATAAAGAGGCTACATGCCGGGTTCAGGGCATAGGATTGGGATTACAAAGTCCAATAGCATAAGTATATATAACGCAATTCGGTGCTTTACATATGACCATCGACAGATTGCTGTTGTTTTATTAGAATTTAAGCTTATATCTAGATATCTAAGTGCTGATTTGGAAGTCTCTTTTACAAGAACCCGGGCCCATGCAGCGACTGGTGCATTGTCACACGTTGATGAGATGCAGTATTTGTCCGAGCATGCTGAATCACGTACATTATATTATTATATATCCTACAATTGAAACCAACTTGAAGTTGAATGTAGAGAGAACACGTGTTAAAAATAGGTCACGTGATAGTCGAGTATAGGGTGATAAATCATCATCCGTATTTGTCCTGGAAGAGATGCTATTTTCTGAATATTCGTAATATAACTATAAAAATCAATACGTACAATAAAATCGTAATATTATAAAAGAGTAAAAAACACGATCAATATTCATCCACAGATATATCATCGGAGTTTTACTAATAAGGACTGAACTCGAGTTCAGCTCTGTGACGATTGCTTTTTGAAATCTACTCTTCATTCGTCACCTTCCTACCAAATATTTAACATATTGCTTTAAAAATGGAGAAATTTCAAAAAGACCATTCCGTGGAAAAAGGCTTTAATTTCTGATAAGACCCTTTTAACATAATTAACTAGAGATTATGTTTTTATTGTATTATATTTTTAATAGTGGGAATGAAGTAACGGGATGAAGTTCGGAATCCTAATTCTCGGGAAAAGCACTTTGAAATTATTTGGGACTGTAATAAATTTACGCATACACGCTGACCTTCAAGCACCCATGATAACTTTGGCCAGGATCAATATTTTTTGATGAGCTAAAGATAATCGAGTAGATCTTACTCCCCTTTTTCAGAAAACATCAATATCATGAAATTAATTTTCACGATTGACCAAATTGGGACACAAAACACTGACGTCACAAAAATTATTTTCGAGATAAGCCCTTTTTATCAAACGCCAACGATACATACTAATACTATATATTGCCATTTATAGGGTCCTGCAGTGCACACGTGACATTGCCCTCAGACACTTCCGAATTTTCTTATCTCCTTTATCTCTGCCAGTCGTGAGCCCTCCGTCGTGAGCCCTCCGTACCAGTTATATTGAGCTCTCGTCAGTCGTCACTCTATCATAAAAAGACTAACAATTTCCTGCAGAGTGAGCATGACTTGATCTTGACTGGTTGGCACCTCCGTCATTATGGTTTGACCGTCGTGTTTTGGTTTAGCCGAAATAAATGTTACTAATGTTTTACATCAATTTTTCTCACTCCAGCATTAGTCTGTTAGACTTAAAGTGGTATAAGTGTTCAGTTTCGTTAATATTTTCATAACCTTCATAAATTATGTTGCCCTCATTGTAGATATTTCATGCCATGGCACGCTAACATTTCTTTTTATACGACTCTGGTAGGCTATTATTGTACAGTGGAAGGGTTCCTAACATTTATAGTGTAACTTATGATCACTAATATATATCACTATCATGTGAGTTATCATTCAATTTATGGTTAAATCTTTAAAGTTTGAACCTCCGTGGAATTTTACGCATTAATGCTTTAGTGAAATTGTTCCGTAATGCCACAGATCCATACATTTCAAATTATTCCTAATATTTTTCTTGAGTTACCCGAATCAGTGTGTTCCATTTGGTTATAATCACGTGACCCAATCGAAATTAAACCGAGCAATCAATAATTGCACGACAACAGTTTTAAAACGCAGCGTCTAACATGGTGGCTGTGCACATGCACTTCTGCAACTAAAGAACCAATCCTCCTTACATGATAATGACACAATCTTTGTAATTGTTAATAAGTATCAGCTTATAAATACCATAAATCACATTTGCTCATCTCAAGCTGCCATATAACGCTATATATCGGATACACACTCAAATCAAAGTGCTTGAAAATTATTCTTATTATCAGCTACAATCAGGCAATTTACAATAAATATAAAGAGGTCTGAGGGGGGGTGTGAGTAACCAGTGACTACCGGATAACACATACTCACGCTTCTTCGTCTCTGACGTCAATCGGTAATAGAAAAAGAGCTGGAGTATAAAACAAGTTGAATTTGTTATAAGATAAAACGGTATTCAAACTTTAAAGTATTCAACACAGGATTCATTGCTATTGTCTTGATGCACAGTTTTTAAAGTTTTTAGTAGTTATAATAATAGAGATTTTTACTATTCTTCCAGCAGCAAGATATCTCTGACAAAGATTTACGTCAGAGCCTCGAGATTAAAATCTTTTGCACGCCATATATCCAGCCTCAGTTACCATTGCTATCCATATTCCATATCACGGATATCCCTCTCTATCTCGTCGAGCAATGCTTACAAAGTTACTGAAAACATTAGCCATCTTATCGGTCGTGGTGACTGGAAGTTGGCAAAACACAACAAACATTAGTCGTTCTCCGCCAGACATGAGTCCTACCCCGCCACAAGATCCCGCCAAAATAAGTCCTTCTCCGCCACAAGATCCCGCCAAAATAAGTCCTTCTCCGCCACAAGATCCCACCCAAATCCTCTTGGTCAACCCTGTACGTGGCAGCCACTTCTTCTTCATGCTTGATATCGGCAAAGTGCTAGCTAATGCAGGCTACAACGTGACTCTCATAACCCTGGATCCAGACAGCAGAGCAGCCCTACCCTCCTCTGATCCCCTGTTCCGAGTCATCACTCCTTCAGAGTCAAGCTTCATGTATAATGTGGAGTTTCATAACCGGTCGGAGGAGTGTGTGAAGCAGCTAGCGGAGGACTATTCGGCGGAGGAGGGTATGTCGATGTCAGTAAGGGTACCCGCGTGTAGGGATACCGTGTTGGATATGTATGGGAAGTCACTGGAATTCTTCCATGGTACTCAGTGGAAGAGGCTGAGGGAGGAGAACGATTTCAAACTTATTGTTGCCGAGGAAAGGACAGTCTGGGCTGCATCTCTTGCTTATTGGGGGAGTGGGATACCAGTTGCTATGGTGAACCCCGAACACTCTTACATCCTGCCCAAAGTCAAGCATCAGCTTCCCCTGCTCTTCAACAACGAGCCTGGAATGCTAAACATTCATTTTCATGAAAACAAGGGTCTCTTTTTGAAGTTACAGAGCTTGGTGAGCGCCATGCAGATGATCCCTTTCGCTATGCAACTGAATGAGATCTTCAAGCCGTTCCTTGATGAAAGGAATCTGACCTCCCTTAACGATGTTACTAAGACTATAGATTTGTTCCTTGTTAACGATTACCCTTCATTCTCGTTCCCGTACAAGCTTCCCCCCACTGTGGTCAAGATAGGAACTTTGGGGTACTCCTCCTCTACAGCCCTACCAAGCTACCTCACTGAATTCCTTACTAAAGACTCTAAAGAAACCATTTATTTATCATTTGGAAGCTATGTTGCTTCTGATCTGGACTGGTTGGAAAGGTATAGCTTGTTTATGGAGGCAGCTAAAGTGCTCGACATGAAGATCATCATCTCCCTGGGATCTGAGGAGCAGTCCTTCTCTAAAATATTTCGCTCAGGTAGGTTCAACGGTTTATAACGCGATCCAATTATTTTTTTTCGCCAATGATAGCATTCATTATCTTGAATAAAAATGATACCATTCAGGGATATCAATTGAATTTTATGGTTTCACTAGTATCATGTTGTGTAGACGATTTTTACTGCACACAACGTCTTATGATGTAATTTGCGTTATCAGCATTTTATCAACTAAATTATTACTTAACCATTACTTAAATGAAGCTTAACTATTACATTATATAACATGTGGCTTCCCCTGCAGATGAGCAGAAATCTTACTCCGAGGGTATCTTCTCGTCAGATCACGTGTACGTATCAAAGTGGTTACCCCAGAAAGCTCTCTTGGACAGTGGTCACGTGACTCTATTCGTTTCTCATTGTGGTAGTAACTCTCGGATGGAGGGTATTTACTATCAGGTTCGTTATTTATTTAAGCAAAATTTAATTATTTGAGAGCTTGTTGATTTATTAAAAGCGTTAACTTTAACTTTTTCCATTTGTTTAGTGCCGTTTTACTTTCACTGTCACTATAGTGGCCCTGATCGAGTCCTAATATTCTAAAAACTTGAAATGTCTCTTGTAACATCACAAATCTCAACACAAACTTCTACCCAGGTCCCCATCCTCTGTATACCACTCTACGCAGAGCAAATAGTAATTGCCAACATCATCAAATACCGAGGATTCGGCAACATCCTCCCTAAAGAGAACCTCACCCCCTCTAACATCCTACAATCTCTCAACACCACACTCCAACACGGAGCTCAGTTCAGGGCGAAGATGGGACGCGCGGTTAAAGTTCTGGAACTTTCCCCGATTACCATAGAAGAGAACTTAGTGTACCACGTGAAGTTGCTGCTTGAGTTGGGGGAGCTGCCGTATTTGGAAAATGATGTACTGGAGGGGAAGAGTGTGGTTGATGCGAATAATTTGGATGTTTTGGGACTTGTGGTGCTGGTGGCTGCTGTGGTTTTGTGGATTGTGGTGGGAGTGATGTACTGGGTTGTGAAAAAGCTGGTGGTCTTTATTTCGATGTACTGCTCAATACAGAAAACCATTAGAAAACTATATGAAAGAGTTTTAAACTTTTTCTCGTTGAATAATTCAAAAATGTATCAAAGAACTTTGTAGCATTATTTACCCAAATCACCCCTGCAGATTGACCCCTGCAAATTTCAGATTTTACCCGGCCCATCAGATTTGACAATATATTTTATAATATATTATTTGTAAGTTTAACGAATGAACAGCAGTATGCTATTTTATCTACGTAATTTACCAATCATTACCATGGTAAATATTTAATTGCATGTTATCAATTTCTTCAACTAACGTCACCTTCACGTGTTGTTCTAAATCTATTGTTAAATTTGTTAAATTTGTTAAATCTATTATTTGTCTGACCATGCAGATTTATTTTGTGCTCCATTTACTGTTTTGAATGACGTCAATGAAGAAATTGATAGCAAGCATTTAAATCCGCAGATATTTTAAAGTTTATTATAGAATTGTTAACGTTTTCTAGGTAGAGAAGGATTTTACAGAATTTAATTCAAAGTGAGCAGTGAGAGTTGATGTTTGATTATAAATTTATTTTCTTTACTTAACTAAATTATAGGTAATTGTGAGGAGTATATTTATTTTCTAGTACAAGCAGATGTAATAAGATGACGCAAAATATTTTATTCTAACCCGGCATTTCAGTCGATTACCCGAAATAAAATAAACAATAATTACAAAACTTCCTGCCTCTGATTAAGGGGAGATACACCAAAAACGTTTTTGCTCCGAACATCGATTTTAGTTTATATTATGGTTAAATAGACAAAAAGAATATGATTGCACACCTTCAAAATTTTCTAAAAATATTCCCTCATCGAGAAAAAAAAATTTTTTCTTTTTCGAAAATTTTTAAAATTTGGTGAAGTCTGTCACTGTAATACCGATAGTTCGGCCATTTTAAAAGTTTTTTGGCTGATTTTTTTACTGAAGATTACTTACAATCCGTACAAGAAGCCATTGAAAGGATTATATAATTGAACAATAAATGACGAAGTTATAGACCAAACAAGGTCGAAAAAATAAAAATTGAAATGTTTCCCACTTCTAAAGTTGTACATTTCACCAATCACCCGGGTCAGCAGATATCGCTTCAAAAATTCTTGTGAGTGTAGTTGATGATCATATCAAACTTTTTTGGAGTAGGATTTCTCTCAGATTTGAGTTTTAAGCTATGCAATTTGGCCTCAAACGACCTAGTAAAATTCATCGTAAAAAAGGGCAAAAAAGGCAGATTTAAGGCTTAAAATGCCTATAACTCAAAAAGTATCAGTTTTTTTGAAATAATTTTTACAGAATCGTAATCAGCTTGGTAAGACGAATCTTTTAGTACCAAATAGGTGCTTTTAGAAGACAAATTGTCTTAAATAATTTTCTGGCTCGAACACAAGGGTCCCCCCTTGTATAAATTTTGTACAAATTGTACACATTTTTTTACAAATTTTGTGTCTTTAAATATTATAAATGTCGTACTAAAAGATTTGTCTTACCTAGCTGATTACGATCCTGTAAAAATTATTTCAAAAAAACTGATACTTTTTGAGTTATAGGCCTTAAATCTGCCTTTTTTGCCCTTTTTAACGATGAATTTTACTAAGTCGTTTGAGGCCACATTGCATAGCTTAAAACTCAAATCTGAGAGAAATCCTACTCCAAAAAGTTTGATATGATCATCAGCTACACTCACAAGAATTTTTGAAGCGATATCTGCTGACCCGGGTGATTGGTGAAATGTACAACTTTAGAAGTGGGAAAAATTTCAATTTTTATTTTTTCGACCTTGTTTGGTCTATAACTTCGTCATTTATTGTTCAATTATATAATCCTTTCAATGGCTTCTTGTACGGATTGTAAGTAATGTTCAGTAAAAAAATCAGCCAAAAAACTTTTAAAATGGCCGAACTATCGGTATTACAGTGACAGACTTCACCAAATTTTAAAAATTTTCGAAAAAGAAAAATATTTTTTTTCTCGATGAGGGAATATTTTTAGAAAATTTTGAAGGTGTGCAATCTTATTCTTTTTGTCTATTTAACCATAATATAAACTAAAATCGATGTTCGGAGCAAAAACGTTTTTGGTGTATCTCCCCTTAAACATGCCAAAGTTTTTGCCTATGTTTTTCACCATGTCGAGGCGGAAAAGGTGCAGGAGACCCCCTACGTCACAATGGCATGTGGTACAATACAATGCAATACTCGTCGTTACACGAATTATGAATTAGGGGTAGACTGGTTCGTTTATAATGACTTACTAGTTGGTCTGTATGTGTGTAAATAGTACTGGTAGGTCTGTGCGGCTTCTAGTCATAATACAAAATTATAATAATCATTATTTAACATTTTTCCTACAAGTTTTGAAATCTCCGATCTCAAACGACGATCGGACGATCCTTTTTCACTAATCTCATGCTGTTTAACTATGTGTGAATGTATTTATACATCAGCTTCAATAAATATTCTAATATTACTTATGGGAGTAAAATCATTGAGATCATTGATCACTAAAAGACACAAGTTGGCATTTTTATGTGATTATATCAATTAATGTGGTAAGGGGTCGTTCACATAATATTACGTAATCGCTTTTTTGGCAAATTTTTAAACCCTCCCCCCTCCGTAATCAATTTTACACATAGCTATTGTTTCATAATTACACTAGCGTAATCATTTGAACCCCCCCCCCCCCCCCCCCCTTGGCTGATTACGTAATATGTGAATTGTGAAGGACCCCTAGGCCCTAAGTGGTGGATATAGCACACTCTACAATCTAGATCTGTAAAACGGAGTACGGGTTACCGCGGTGCACTATGATCATGTTGAGCGTATTGAATATCTGCATTTTTCTAATTGTGCGAGCAATTATATAATCACATACAAGTAAGAACCACGACCCAGCTTATGGAATTGGCTGCTGGAGCAGTCGGATATATATTTATTTTCCTGATTGCCAGACTGGATAATCGAGTGGCGAAATTAAAATTTTACTGATAAGTTTAAAATTCTGACTGCTGGTTGTGACTTATTTGCGGAAAACCAAAGTGGTATAAAAGTGGTAATTGTGGATTTTCCTGGACTGATTCCTCGGACATGTCCCGACCATATCCGTTAAAATCGCTTTGTTGCGAATTTTGTCCGACAAAGGCTTAAATTAGGACGGATTTGACTGTACTATAATTATAAGGAGAATATAGCTTGCAAGACTCGATTGTGTTTTAGAGGATACTTATGTGATGTTCTCAGAAAAGAAGATAGTGTAATTGACAAGGTGTACGATATTGCTGTAGGCCCTTAGGCTTAATATAATATTGGAAAGATAGGAATCAAGCTTAACTAGGATTTTTTCCTTTGTGCAGGCCACTTAATTAATTAAAAAAAGTTTTTCCATTACAAATTAGTAAAAGTACGAGGTTAGCGTCGGTTCCTAGTCGTATGTGATTTGACGATATTCGATAATGAAAACATATTACAGCTGTCAACAATTTCAATTTCCTCTAATAAATAATAAAGATTCAAGTGGTACAAAAACAACTATTCTCGACAATTGTTAAAGCGTTGGTAGAAATATAGTTCAGTGGATATAATGATTACAAAGAAACTTATTCTCAACGAATTTCAAAACTGAGGGTAGGATAAAATAACCGAATATGGGCATCAATGATCAATATTCAATATACTACATACAATGATAACAAAGAAATATATTCTGAGGGTCAAATCAAATAACTTATTATGGCCGGCATTAATATATTATTATACATAACAACAAAGAAACTTATTCTTAGCGCCTTTCAAAACTGAGGGTAGGATAAAATAACCGAATATGGGCATCAATATTCAATAATATTCTGCAATAATAACAAAGAAATATATTCTGATTACTGAGGGTCAAATAAATAATCTATCATGGGCATCAGCCATCAATATATCATTATACATAATAACAAAGAACCTTATTCATTATTCTCAACGGTTTTTAAACTGAGGGTTGGAGTAGTAACCGATTATGGGCATCAATATATTACAACAATGAAATCAAAGTTCTGCGATCATTCAACACTATTTCTTTAAGTTCAAATATTAATCTTCTTTAAAATGATGTTGCTCACCACAGACATCTTCGCTCTATTTTGAATATAAAGTACCCAGGAGTCAACAAATCTTGTATATATATAAACGCTGCAATACTGAACTATTGTCAGAAAAATTGGCCCGTAGACCGTATAATTACTAGTCGGTGGAGAATGTTAGGACATGTTTTGCGGGTCCTGTTGATGGACCAGCGCTTTCTTCCCTCATTTTTGCCATAAATACACGGGACTTACCATGAATAATATTTTTGATCTGTATTATCTCTGTAATTTAGCTTATGATAAGACATATTGGCAGCAATTACAAATACAATGATGTTTTGATATTCAGTTATTTTTTTAGGGAAAGATAAGACTTGGGCGTTGTTTTTAACTATCCTTAATATAAATAAAAATCTAATAAAATAACATGAAAAACTAAACAAATCTAACATCCCAAATCCCAATCTGTATATATATAATATCTGTATATTTAATATCACTAAACATATAACAGCAGTTTAATGACCACCAACATCTACAGCCTCCTTGGTCAATATGTCCTGTTCTAACAGTCCAGGTTCCACTTTAGGTAGATAATCCCTCATCCACTCTCCAAAGAGCTGTGTTTCTTCTCCAGCTGCTGTTGTCCGCCCTGATATGCTCTTGCTTATATCCGCATCAAACCTGGGCGTGAGTGTTCTGTGAATCTGAATATTATAATAAGATCTGCGGTAAGATAAGAGTGGTATACAAATTCCTTTTTAATGATTTTCTGGACGGTCTCTGTTCATAATTCTATAATTGGAACCGATTTCAATAGTAACACATAATTTCAAGCGAATTTTATAAAGATTTGAAGCCTTTCTATGGTTGAAGTATTATCCAAGACATCAGATCATGTCAATAAATAATTGTCATATTAGTATGTTCTGCCGCGACTATTCAGATTTTCTACCTTTTAATTTGATTTATTTATTATTATTTTATTTGATTCTTTAAAATTCCTTTACAATTCCTTTACAATTCCTGCCCGACCAGTGATCGAGATGCCTTACCGCTGACACCAATATGACATATCTGTGTACGACACAGGGTTCACGTGAGCGGGGAGGCAAATAATCCAATGCTCAACTACACTAAAAACGGTGTCAACCGTAAATATATATAACGGTTGTGTCAGACCTTGTTATTATCCTTGTTTGTTTCGTTGAATCTTTCACTCTATCTTAATCTAACATCTACTTAATATGGGACTTTGCACATCTCGACAGAACCAGGAACCAGAAGACCTCTCTTCCTTCAAACAGAACCCTGCTGCAGAACTCTCCTCCTCTGATCAATCCTCCCTCAACTCCTTTAACTCTTCCTACAGTTTACACGAGAAGATCGGCTCAGGAGGTTTTGGAACAGTCTTCAGAGTCACCCACCTCCGTTCTGGAGCAGAGCTGGTAGCTAAGAAGATCAAGACCGACTCAGACACAATCCCTGCAGAGATCACCCTCATGGCGGAGATATCACACCCCCAGATAATCAGACTGCTGGAGTTCTACTCTACCCCTAGTCACCTCCTCATGATCCTGGAACTTCTACCTGGTTGTATGGACCTGTTCGACTACATCGACATCAAGAAGAGACTGTCAGAAGTGAACACAAAGTACATCCTCCGTCAACTATCGTCAGCTTTATCCTACCTGCACGAAGAGAAACAGATAGCTCACTTGGATGTTAAACCTGAGAATATCCTGATACAACCCTCTACTGGAGACATCAGACTGATAGACTTCGGAGCTGCCCAGAGGATAACACCACATCTCCACTCCACCTTCTCCGGAACAAAACAGTACGCCAGCCCTGAGATCCTCTTTACTGGACACTACGATCCTGTAGCTGCTGACATATGGGCGTTCGGAGTGACTTTCTACAAGATGATTACGGGACACGTTCCCTTCAAGAGGACACGTGATTACCTCAGCCCACTGACTTTCACCTACCGAGGAGTGTCATCTCTCTGCCTGGAGACGATATCTATCATCCTGAATCCTAATCGTAATCTTAGACCGTTAACTATCGGGGATATCAGAAGTTGCCCTTGGATGAGGACATGATTCTACCTCTCTCTACTTCACTACTTGTTTCATATTGAAACGTACTACACTGCTGATTGATTATTTATTTATTTGATATTTATTTGATATTTATTTGATATTTATTTAACATTTATTTAATTATTTATTATCCAATACTGTGTCTTAATCAAGTATCCGAAATCAAAACAGAGCCAACGTAATCTTAAATCCCCCAATCTTATTCATGACAACAATAAGACAACAATAAGACAACAATAAGACAACAATAAGACAACAATAAGACAACAATAAGAGAACATTACGACAACAATAAGACAACAATAAGACAACAATAAGACAACAATAAGAGAACAATAAGAGAACATTACGACAACAATAAGACAACAATAAGACAACAATAAGAGAACATTACGACAACATTAAGACAACAAACTCATTTAAGATTGTGTTGTCTTAATATTTTATCATAAATGTTGTCTTATTGTTGTCTTATTGTTGCCTTAATGTTGCCTTAATGTTGCCTTAATGTTGTCTTAATGTTGTCTTAATGTTGTCTTACCGTTTGTTGTCTTATTGGTGTTTGTTGCGTTAACGTTGTCTTAATGTTGTCTTATTGTTGTCTTATTGTTGTCTTAATGTCCCATCGGTGTTCGTTCTAGTTCCCGTAATTTATATTTTGCCTTGGATGTATGTATTTTGGGAAATTACGTGAAATATTCCAATTATTTTAATTGCATTTTTACAGAACTTTAAATGTTTAATGAATACCCTTGCAGGTACCACCTACAACAACAACTTTAAAGTAGTTGTACGGTACGTACTAATAAAAAACCTCATACCGTACGTACTTCTCATCTTAGAAATAAAGTAAACTTACGATGGGTTGAAGAAGCAGGGAATAGAATGTCTCTCAAAGTCAACTTGTTTAACCCTATGCCTGACTGCTTTTATCTTCTTATCAGTAATGTCCTCAACAAGGGTCCCGATATTAACAATAAATCCGTCCTCAGATGGGGGAACCTCCAGGTATTCCTCGCCGTACAGGGCCTGGAGAAATATAAGTTGTTATATTAGTTGGATCCAAATAAGCAGGGCAATGCAGATAGATTTAGCATAACTACCTAATGAATAGAAACCACTATAAAATGCAATTAATTTTGTTTCAGAGTTTGTGACAACAATTCCATTTAACACCACGTATAATTTCATCCTCTGAGATTAAAATGTTAAACGTGAAAATTAAAATGACAGTCTAACGTACCTGAAGACCAGTGTAGTTAAATGTAACCTTGGTTAGCTAGGTTACGTTGGTTACCTTGGTTAGCTAGGTTACCTTGGTTAATGGTTACCTGGTTACCTTGGTTACATGGTTACATAGTTACAGTCTAACGTACCTGAAGACCAGTGTAGTTAAATGTAGACAACACGGTTACCTTGGTTACCTGGTAACCTTGGTTACCTGGTTACATAGTGACAGTCTAACGTACCTGGAGACCAGTGTAGTTAAATGTAGACAACACGGTTACAGTCGAGTCTTCGTGTTCGAGTTCTGACAGGGCGACTCCATCGTATTCTGAATTCATACTTTCTGTCCTCCTGAAAACATACAAAATTATGGATGTTGAATTTTCAACAATTCTGAAGAAGAATTGACGAGAGAAGTTCTCTCGCCATAGTCGTACGATAAGAAAAAATAAAATTACCACAAATTTTGGTAATTTATATTTTGGTATGTATGTATTTTGGAAAATTACGTGAAATATTCCAGCACAATTATTGTAACTGCAGTTTTACAGAACTCTAAATGCTTAATGAATACCCTTGCAGGTACCACTTGTATTCACACATAGTATTAAGTGGGGCCATTTTCCAACACGAGATTGGCGACAGATTTTATAAATATCACGTGGCCAGTCACAGATTTCATTGAGTTCTGGTGGATGTCACCAATTGCTTACTTAGTTCGGGTGGGATAACGTCTCAACCCAAGAGTTGAGAATTCAGATTCTGTAAATCTCGAAATAAGCTGGTCTGCTTCTAAACTCCTCCCGATGCTTCTAATAATACCTGTGAAACGAATATTATGTAAAATAAACGAATTTTACAACGCACGGATTAAAACAAGAGTATTATCATCTCATTAATAAAATATTTATTCCTTTTGTATACATTATATATACTGAAATATACTTTATCGGACAATTGTCACGGACGAGTTTTTTACGGACCAAATTTTTCACGGACATAATTATTCACGCTCATGACAGGGGTATAGGACACAAGGGCGGAAGATCAACTGTTTTCACACGAAGAGATTGCACAGTGAAACGAACAACTTGAGTCACAACGTAGACGACTCGAGAGACAACTAGTATATTTAAGACCGATGTTGGGAATAGAAGTATCTTATTATTTAGTTCCAGCTACATCTCAACTACTACAATAACAACCATGTACGATGAAGATACAGTAAAGATTATCAGAGGAAGGACTCCTACCAGTCAGAATCTCCTACACGGTGGTTTCCGCTACTCTAAGGATGGAAAGCTTACCACCGATGGACGCCAAGCCTGGAGATGTGTGAGGAAGAAAGACTGTTGCCGTGGTCGTCTGTATACCCTGAACGAATCCTTGGTGAAAGTGACACAGATACATAACCACGACGCTGATATCGCTGACTGTGAATTGAAAGAAGTCCTCGCTAAAGTCCAGGATCTGGCTGCTACGACGATGACACACAACATCGTTTGCTCCGTTACTGGTCCCATGTCTCAGGATGCACGTGCCCGCCTCCCCAACGAACAAGCGGTGAAGAAGAGGGCACAGAGAGCCCGCCGATACGGAAACCCTAGACCCAGAGCACCTTCATCCCTCGCAGATCTTCAACTGGAAGAGGACGACTGCAGATCCCTCTCCGGTGAACCTATGCTTCAATACGACAACAACCTGGACGATCGACGTGTCATCATCTTCGCAACAAAAAACAACCTGACAGCCCTAGAGCAGAGCAGCAGCTGGTATATCGACGCAACCTTCTCATCCTCACCGCAGCTGTTCTATCAGTTACTGACTGTCCACGCGGAGATGGTGAACTTCACGGAGGATTCAACCTGGTGCTTCCCTTGCGTCTACATTCTCCTGACCCACAAGGACACTCCCATCTACATGGAAGCGTTCGGCGCCCTCAAAAACCTTGGTTCCTTTTCTCCAGACCGAATCATGGTGGACTTTGAGCTCGCCCTGAGGAACGCCCTATCGTCTACATTCGAGTCAGCCCAAGTGGATGGGTGCTTCTTTCATATCTGTATTACCGTTAAGCGTTCTCTATAAGTATAACCCTGTGTATTTTGTTTGTAAAGTTACAAAGAATTCGAAATCAGTACCACTAAAATGATTGAATATAACTTTGATTGAATATAACTTATATAATTTATACAATTTGAAGTACGTTGTGTGATGTTTCCGGTTTTGTAGTATTACCAGTCGAGCATTTAGGACATGTGATCGTTTTACGAGTCTTCCGCCCAAATCATGGGATCGACCTCCGCCCTCGCGACCTCCGCCCTCGTGTCCAACCTTTTAGGAAACTTCCGCCCTTGCGTCCTCCGCCCTCAAGTCTTCCGCCTACGCGACCTCCGCCCACGCGTCTTCCGCCCTCCTGACTGGTTCCCCATGACAGACATGACCGCCCAAACAATTCCAAAAAATTGTGAAAATGTTTGGTGATTTTTTAATAAGTGTTTTACTCTTTTGCTGAACTTTAGATGTGACTGAGGAGTGATTATTTTAATTGTCCTATTATAGTATACTAATAAACTAATATAGTAATCGGCTACACACATATCTACGCATATGTAGGGACACACACACACTAAAATTAATGAAACTAATTACCGGACTTTATTATTCACGGACCTTTAATGCCACCTAGAAATTATTTTCAAAGACTTAATTATTCACGCTAAGGTCTTCAGCGTGAAAGTAATGTCCGTGATAATTATGACCAATAAGGTAATAAGGCATGCCGCACATATTTATAGCTAGTCTCCACTCCACATTAATAACCCAAGCCTCCTCACAACTAAAAATAACCTTATCTTTACCTCTGGCAAGTGGCGATGTTCATCATTACCTTTAACCCCTCAGTAATCCTTTGGCTAAAAATATTAAATAACCTTATCTGGCTAAAAACAACGTTATATTTTTACCTCTTGCTATATTCTTCCTTATCTTCATCCTCTTTATACTGATTGGTTACCTGGTTACTTGGCTACCTTGGTTACCTGGTTACCTTGGTTATATTTACCTCTTGCTATTTTCATCCTTATCTTCATCCCCTCACTGCTTGGTTACCTGGTTACATAGTTACCTGGTTACCTTGGTTATATTTACCTCTTGCTATTTTCATCCTTATCTTCATCCCCTCACTGCTTGATTACCTGGTTACTTGGCTACCTTGGTTAGTGGTTACCTGGTTACCTTGGTTATATTTACCTCTTGCTATTTTCATCCTTATCTTCATCCCCTCACTGCTTGATTACCTGGTTACTTGGCTACCTTGGTTACCTGGTTACCTTGGTTATATTTACCTCTTGCTATTTTCATCCTTATCTTCATCCCCTCACTGAACACCCTCCTAAACTCCCCATCAAACTCTTTATCTCCGGTATCAGGCCACACACTCCGCTCCCTACTGATAGCCCTCAGTTTATCCAACGGAGAGTCTGTCTGTTGGTACGTAGGTGTGGGAGCCTCGTGGGGGCCTATGTTGAACATCTCCTTGTGCTGTGTACCGGAATCCACCACTGGACCGTAGCCTCGGTATATGTTTGAGTTTTTCGGTTCATGTTTTTTCACTGCAAGTGACATTTTCGTGGCTTCAGGCAGACTGAAGAAATGTTTGAGCAGGGTGAGTTCCTGGAGAGCATTGTAGTCTGGCACGTTGTTAACGTAGAAGAAGCCGAACTCCTGCATGGAGCGGAGTATTTTAGGGTCGATGGTTTGATCATTGTTTATTAAGTCAGAGAATGATATTTTGGAGACTCTGTGGAAATGATCGAGCGGGCTGCCGGGGAACCTGATGGATGTTTCAGTTAAAAAAGTTGTAGTAAAAATCTACGGATTGAATACGTTGCAGATCGATCAGCTACAGAGTTACCTATCGTAACTGATTTATATTCGAAGAAACTAGAATGTCAATAAATTTGCGAACAGAATACTTACAATTTGAGAACAAAATACTTACAGTTTTTGGCGTAAATCGTTAAATAGTTTTATGTCAGTTATCTGGGTGAAGGATAGTGACAAAACTAAAACTAACCCAACAGCTGTAGCGCTTATTCCTGTTTTTGTGTTCATTGGAGAAACTTTTCTATCTGATCGGTAAAGACGGTTAATAAAAAAGATAATCTTGTTCATGTCGGTTAATTAATTAGTAATTAATCTGCTTTTAAAATAAGGTTCGTGGTCACTGGTCAATGAAAGCGCGGTTACACTTACATATATATTGTAGGTTATTACAACCCAGTATGGTAGTGGCTTCGAAAAGAAAGAGTTGTATTTACATACGAAAAGTGAATCTACATAAAGGCACCCAGCAGAAACTAAAACCAAATTTGCTCCCTGCTAATTATCACTACAAGACTCCAGGGTCAAAACCATTGACGGCCTTACAGACTTCTTTAGAACACTCATCGGGGTCCTTCAGGGTGATACACTCGCTCCTTTCCTCTTCATCATCGTCCTCGATTATGTCCTTAGGAACTGCATGACTCTTGACCATGGCCTAACCATCATCCCCAGGCAAAGTCGGAGAGTACATGCGGTCAGAGTCACAGATCTTGACTTCGCTGACGACCTGGCCTTGACTGCCGATACCATAGAGCAAGTCCAACAACTGCTCTCGGATTTAGAGACTGCAGCAGCACATGTCGGACTTGCGATGAATGCTTCCAAGACCGAATACATGACCATCAACATTCCTGATGCTGCCCCGTGAACTCAATATCCGGTTATCAGATCAAGCAGGTTGATGACTTCAAATACTTGGGCTCATATATTGCAGAGAGCAGGAAGGACTTCAACACCAGGAAAGGCATGGCTTGGTCAGCCTGTATCAAACTGCAGAAGGTATGGACCTCTGGCATTTCTGACCAGCTGAAAGTCAAGTTCTTCAGAGCATGCATCGAACCTGTTCTGCTGTATGGCTCAGAAACCTGGACCTTGAACAAGCAGTTTGAGAAGCGTCTCGACGGGTGCTACACCAGGCTCCTAATGAAAGCTAGGAATCTTTCATGGAAGAAGCATCCAACCCTAAAGCAAATCTATGGTGACCTCCCTTCCATCTCCACCATCGTTGCACAGAGACGTGCCAGATTTGCTGGGCATTGCATGAGAGCTTCAGACCAGGTCATCTCATCTCTACCATCCTTCCTTGGCGGCTGCCACAGTTCAAGCGTGGGAGGAGACCACTCTCTTTTCTTGACACCGTAGCCAGGGACACAGGGTTGCGGGTAGAAGATCTCCGAACAGTTATGTGCGACAGAACCATCTGGAGACGTAGAGTGGAGGAGATTTCGATCGAGCATCGCCCAAAGTAAAAAAGTAAGTACAAGTACAATGGGCAATTTGGTAATCTAGCTAGGAACACTTGGGGCACACTTGGGGCACACTTGGGGCAAAAAGTTACTTGGGGCACACTTGGGGCAAATACAGTTGGGGAACAGCTGGGGCACACTTGGGGCACAATGTTATATATATATATGGGTAAACTAGACCTGCATGATAAGTCAGGGTAACCAGGATAGCCCGGTACCCAAAACTTGATTAACTAGCACGGATAAAAACAATGTTAAAAACTAATGCTCAGTCTTACGAGACAGCTACAGGGTAAACAACAATATGCGATTAATATTCACAAACAATATAAATTGGAGAACAATCTGGGTACAGTGTGAACAAAACCCAAAAATAGAATTTACGTATTTTCTGATAATTCAATAATTGTAACATATTGAAACGGAGACGGTCTAACTTTACTTTTAGATACAAGAGCAAGTGTTATATTTCAGTGACTAACAAATATAATCTTATTCATGTCGGTTAATTAATTAGTAATTAATCTGCTTTTAAAATAAGGTTCGTGTTCAATGAAAGTACGGTTACACTTGTAGACTATTACAACCCAGTATTGTAGTGGCATCGAAAAGAAACAGTTGTATTTACATACGAAAAGTGAATCTAGAAAGGCACCCAGCAGAAAATAAAACCAAATTTTCTCCCTACTTATCACTACAATGTTATATATATGGGTAATTATTGCGATTAATATTCACAAACAATATAAATTGGAGAATAAGGTGGGTCCAGTGTGAACAAACGCAAAATCAAAAAATAGAATTTACGTATTTTCTGATAATTCAATAATTGCCACATAATGAAACGGAGACGGTCTAACTTTACTTCTAGATACACGAGCAAGTGTTATATTTCAGTGACTTGAACCGACCAAAATATATATAAGTACCGTCTATAAATAACTGAATACCGAAACAAAATGAACGGGTTGGGTAAGGGCTGTGGTTACACTCCTAAGAAATCAAACTCGCTGCTTTTCTGGAGGAATGACAGAGCTATAAGATCTCCTCTCTGAGGGGTGGTCACACAATGTGATGGCCCTGTTAAAGCTTAACGAATCTCAACATAGGTGACATAGGTAGGTAGGTTGGGTAAGGGCTGTGGTTTCCGTTCCCATCATGAGCCATAATGCGTCAGAGAAGCGGACGTAACTGTTTCGTATAAATAAACTCATTATAAAAATAAAAGTAATCGTCATTGCACATGCATGAAGACTGGCATAAAATACGAGTAAATAAGCAGTAAAAGTGTAAAAATAAAAAGTATGTATGTTGAGGTTAAATAAGTGCCGGCTGTGTTTGAAGTGGTGCTCATGATCTCTGAAACCTTTGGTAAATACGTCATGATGACATCACATCATCGTGACGTCATGCCATGGGTACAATACGTACTTATAAAGTTCGATACGCACTCGATAGTTCGACACGTACTGTAGTTCGACGAACCCTAAGGTTCGACTCAGTGATCGAACTTAAGTGCGCTACCTGGACTCAAGGCCGACACGTACTATATATAACTTGTAGGTTTACAACTTACCAGGACGCGCGCCGAGTTGGACTCGTCGACGGTCCAATATATGGAACAGATATTTTACGAGTATTACCCGTAAATATATATATATATAACTGGTATATATATATATATACCAGTTTCAAGGCCGACAAGAAACTGGTAACTCGTATTCCGTTTTGTAGATCTAGATTGTAGAGTACGCTATATAAATCTATAAATATAAGAATATAAACCCTAGTTCGACACGTACCGAAGTTCGTCAGGGGTGATATCTCTAACTTAAGTTGTCGAACTATAGTGCGTGTCGAACTAGAGTATAAGTACGTGAATCCATGCCATGATAATATGTGGAAAATCATATAACATTTCCTCAAAAAAAATGACCTCAAAAAAATGACCTCACAAATTACCTCAACGTCTCAACAAGTTTAAACCATATTCCCTATCGATATCGTAACAATATCGCAGTGATTAAGTAAGCTACTCGTATTAAACGGTTGTCAGAATTTAGAATATTCCATACACTAAACTAGAGCCAAGGAATATTCTAGAATGAAGATCTCGAGAAAGGAAAAACGCCTATACTAAGATGCTAGCTTCCGAATGTGCCAGCAACAGGCTTGCCCTTCTAATTAGTATGACATGGTGTTAAGTTTATCATTGTTTAATAACGGCCACCTTTTGTTATTACTTGTTGTTTTTATATCACTCCTGTAGTCTTTGTTCCGCATAGCATGGGCGTTGTTTGCCGGCCCTTTCATGAAGCTGAAGTACATTAAATTTAAAAGACTTAACAAACCAAACCGGGTTAAGTGAATAAGGAGTAAGATTTTTAAAATTGTGCAGGGATTATTTAGCGATCAGTGAACCAGTGGCGTAACGTTGCCTGTTGGCGCCCCCCTGCCGAAATAAGCGCCCCCCTGTTGGCGCCCCCTCCCCTTTTGGTGCCCCTCCCTAAAATTGAACAAATTAGGTGATTTTAAAGAATACGCCGGTAAAATCTCTAAAAAAGTGTGTATCTAGATCAAAACGCGCAGTTTTGCTAGTACTTTAGTTAAGTTTTCGAAATTGTCCCACATTCAAACGACGATTTGGCGCCCCCCTAAGACGGCGCCCCCCTGCACAGCGGGGTCAGCAGGGCCTTTCGTTACGCCACTGCAGTGAACCAGGACTGACTGGAAAAATATACTTCTGCAATAGGCTCTAATTTCGGTTCCTGTTTTAGTCCTGCTCCCGGTAAAAAATAAAACCGGAATTTTTACCGGGACAAGGACTAAAACAGAGCCTGGTCAGTTATTTTTGCATACCTCATACCCCATACAGTACGTGGTATAAAAACGAGAAGTTAGTCTTATATATTTTGTTTAAGATAATAATAATACATTGGCGGACATTTTTTAGCATAATCTAGAGAACCGTCGAGAAATCGCTTTTAATACGAAACGCTAACGAGATGGCCTTTTAGAACGGTTGGCATCCGACTAACAGGGAGAAAGATATAACCAAATACAAGATTATAACAATTTTCCTTTCAATTATTTTTCAAGGATTAGAAATTCGCCAAAAAGTGCGTTTTTCAAAAAAATAAAAATGGTAAAATTGAGTTAGAGATTCCAATTACATACTATACTATACCGGAAAAAATGTACAGACGCGCTAGACATGAAATATTGGCAATGACATCAATCATGTTAATTATGTACTTTGGAAAAGGGGTTTTAAAATTTTGAGCCACAAATAGAAGCGAAACTAACTGTAATTATGTCGCGTTCTATATCGATTAGCAAACGTTATTTTAAAAATAATTACATTCAATAAACATTTAAATAATTTTATACGCTAATCTAACTGCGTATAATGCGATTACACTATTAATTGCACGAGGCCCAGCCGAGTGTAAATTGATACAATAATCGCACGAGG